TTTTTTCAATGCCACTATAACTTTGGAATGTCACTAAACGAATGAAGGTAATTTGAGGCCTGTACATAGCACTTTAAAAAGAATAAAGGATAATAAGGGGATCCACAATCTAAAGTAGACATGTACATCTACAAAAATGAAATAAAGGAAGAAACATAAGCATGGATCACCTGGAGAGAATGTGATCATTTCAGTTATAGTAACTTGGCTTGGTTTCAACAAAATATAGAAATTAAAGGCCTTATTTGAACTTTCCCTGAAACTTCAAAGTAAATTTAGAATTAAGGGAAAGGAGGGTATCTGGGAGGCAGTTCCAGTCAAAAGGGGCTAAACAAAGATAATTTTGTTTCACCCAGGTGATAGTCTTGAGCTTTCTTTGACAAGGTTAAGCAGGATCAGTCTTGGTTAATACTTCGATGGGAAATTTTCAAGGATTCAGAGACTGATTGGGAAATCAAAGAAATCTTGAAAAACAATGAGAAATAATCTCTGTATTGCTGCTAAGGTAAATTCTTGTCTGCAACATCCTCAATACGACAGTCCAGCTTTTCAACAACAGAGGCGAGTCCTTGCAAAGCCTGTACTATATCCTCCCTCATAACTTTATTTCTTTCTTCTAAAAGATCCTTCACTTCTTCTCTAATTTGACACACATTACCCATAACATCTTGAATATCTTTTACCGTAAGTGGTGGTACAGGCAAAGAGGGTGGTGGTGATCTAGGTTTAGGTTGTTGAACTGTCAATATTGCCGGAGAAGAAGCCACCTTAGGCACAGCAGAGATCGCTTGACGCTTCGAAGCCATTTTAAAAAGTTTTTCTCCTTCTTAAAAAATCCAAAAGACCAAAAAAAAAAAAAAAGAGGGAAAACCCTCTTCTATCTATAAAAAGAAAAAAAATATTTATCCTTCTCTTACAAACACCCAAAGTCCCAAAATTTGCTAAAACTTTATAACAAGAAAAAATAATAAAGTAATAAAGATCCTTTCCTCACTTTCCTTTCATACACATGAGAAAGAAAGAGAAACCTCTCATCGCCATTTTACTTTCCCTTAAAATAAAGAAAGGGAAAAAAAAATGTTCTTCTCCAGAGTTAAAGTCCAAATTTAACATATAAATTCGTTCCACTGATCAGCTCTGTCCGCTTCAAAATCAACTCACCAGTTCACTTTAATTGCGGATGTGGGAGCAGCGTCTTGCTTTGTCCCAAAAAAAAAAAGGGACAAAGGCATCTGAGAAGTGGAGAATGCCTCGGACTCCATGGGAGCTCACCCTTCAACCCCCCCCCCCAAAAAAAATCTTTGAGATCTCGGAGGCTCTACCACTATCCAAGGAAAAAAACTCACCTCTTTCCTTTTGCCTGGGAAAGAAGTTTCAAACCGCGGGACAGCTGATGTCTACTGTCCTCCGCAGATTTTACACTGTCTCAGACGGACGGCTACAAAGTAGCCGCCATCGGCACAACGCAGCGCCACCGGAAGAGCTAAGGTAAATTCTTGAATGGGACAATGAAGTCATCAAAAATTGACTTGAGAAAGATTTAGGTATTTAATTACAGGACATAAAAACAAGACAGCAAAGAGTATGGAACTATCGGTTTATAGGAGGCCATGCATTACGATAAAACAAAACAAAGCCAAAAATAAGGTCAAGAAGCTTTTGAGCATTTGAGGACAGACAATAAGTCTGCAAAGCAGTTTTAAAAGTAAGTCAGATAGTCAGAACTGCTAGGAATGTATAGAACAGGTGTAAAGAGGTGAAAATGAGACAAGTCAAAGATAATATACAGTATGACTTTATCATGTTTAAAGGAGTCGTGGATAGAGTGTCTGCAGGGGTGCTCCCCTATTGTACTTTATTTCTCTACTTCCAGGTAGGTACAAGCAGCAGAGAAGCATAGAATTCCATTTTTATTTTGGAAAACAATGTGATCAATTGTTTCTGTTCCTTTCAAGAAACAGGAAGAAAAGTTATTTTCTACTTTATGTTAATATTTTAAGAGATATACTGCACAAGATATGAGACAACATTTAATCATTTTTATAAAGATTGTCTAGTATGCTGTATCTGGCAGACGGTACAGGATAATAAAAACAAAGACAAATAGGCTGAAAAATAGTTTTTATCCCAGAGCTATAACCATATTAAATGCTACTGTATAGAGCAACATGGAAGTGCAATATTAGGGGCAGCACAATGTGAATGTGAAGAATGTGTTTATATAATGTATGTTCTTATTTGTGGTTTTTACTTGTGTGTAGTGTGCCCTGTGGACAGCACTTCATTTCATTATGAATTACACAATAATATTCTATTCTATTCTACACTGAACCAAGGACCCAGAATATTTTAACATACTGAAAATGATTGGCACAAGCAACAGAATTTTGCTCCCTAATCTGTTTTCTGAAAAGTTAATCCAAACATGGATGGAATAGTTCTTTGAGAGCTGCAGGGTTGGATTCAATACTTAAGTATTAATACTTGCCCCATCTCTTCTAAAATTCAGGTTCCTAAGAATCTTCAGATCCTATGAGTGAGATTTTACAAAGGCCAACTTAAAGATAATTCTGGGATCAATTCATGTGCTGTAGCTAAGAATCATCATTGATTTGATGGCTCTTAATCAATGAGTCTCTATTGATTTGATGTTACTGGTCCTTTTTACCCTGTTTGCTGTTAATTTTAATGTTTTTAATTTTTAACGTCCAATGTTTTTCTTCAACTCCCATACCTCAAGGCAGGGTACAGTTGCTGTCAAAGGAAAACATGGTGTGATTTTGCAGGCTGACAGGATTATGGGCTTAAACTCAGCCCATCTGAGCTTCTAGATCAGTGGTTCTCAATCTTTTTAATGCCGCGACCCCCAACCGGTCGTAAGTCGAGGACTACTCAACCGGTCCTAAGTCGAGGACTACTCAACTGGTGCAGCACTGTTTGCAGAATGGGACTTTTGACGGGCTCAGCAGGACAGAGACAGCCTGGACAATTCCTATTGGCTTTTGAAAGCCAATAGAATTAGACTCTATTCAAGAATAGGGGAGACACGACAGCAGTGTTCCAGCATTTGAGGGGCTCCAAGATCACCTCAGATGGGGACTGCAGCCAAAAAATTAAAAGACACTTGCTCCTGGGGAGGAAAGCTATGGCAAATCTAGACAGCATAGTAAAAAGCAGAGAGATCACCCTGCCAACAAAAGCGTGTTTAGTCCAGGCCATGGTTTTCCCAGTTGCAATGTATGGATGTGAAAGTTGGACCATAAGAAAGGCTGAGCGCCAAAGAATTGAGGCCTTTGAACTATGGTGCTGGAGAAGACTCCTGCAAGTCCCTTGGACTGCAAGGGGTTCAAACTGGTCAGTCCTTGAAGAGATCAACCCCGACTGCTCTTTAGAAGGCCAGATCCTAAAGTTGAAACTCAAATACTTTGGCCACCTAATGAGAAGGAAGGACTCACTGGAGAAGAGCCTAATGCTGGGAAAGATTGAGGGCAATAGAAGAAGGGGATGACAGAGAATGAGGTGAGTGGATAGTCACTGGTGTGAGCTTAAATGGACTCCAGAAGATGGTAGAGGACAGGAAGATCTGGAGGAACATTGTCCATGGGGTTGCGATGGGTCAGACATGACTTCGCAATTAACAAGCCAAGAAATCATGGTTGGAAACTGACCAAAGAGAGAAGCAACCTGGAATTAAGGAGAAAGTTCCTAACAGTGAGGACGACGTCTGAGATGGTATAGATCAGGGGTAGGCAACCTCGGGTTTTATGACTTGTGGATTTCAATTCCCAGAATTCCTCAGCCAGCAAAGCTGGCTGAGGAATTCTGGGAATTGAAGTCCACAAGTCATAAAAGAGCCGAGATTGCCTACCCCTGGTATAGCGGGTTCTCTTGCTTGAGCGGGGGACTGGACTAGAAGACCTCCAAGCTCCCTTCCAGCTCTATTCTATTCTAAAAACGAAAGCATTTAGCAATGGCCCAAACAGGGAGAAACAAAAACTTCGGAGGGAAGCGAAAGCCGATCCCTGTTAGTCAATCAGCATAGCCGCTGCTTTTAGATTCCCTTACTTCGAGGATCCTGACGTTGCGCGGGAACACGCAAGACACCAGGATCGAGGAAACCCGGCGTGCAAAGACCGCCGGAACCAGCCAGTTTCTCGCAAAAGAACGTTAAAAACCGTCTTTCCCGGGCTTCGTGCCATTGGGACCCTCCCCTCGCCCCCGATTCGCCAACCCAGATGCCAATCAAAATCATCCGAAGCAACTCAGTCGATCACCTCGCTCGAATCGTTCCCTTATTGGTCTCTGGCTTCGACGCACGTTAGCTTGTAATGTGAGAAGCGCAGGAGGAGCTCGGCTTAGCGTCGTTGAGTCGTCTGGAGCCACCTCCCATCCCCACAAGAAATATGTGTGGCTTTTCAATCGATTGGCCAAGGTTGGAAATATTTGCGTCCACTTTAACAATCCGATGCTTTATTAGATGGGAAGGACGCTACTCTGAAAGACTTGCATTTACGGCTGCCGTTAATTTGACGACAACCGCCGCCTATACGGCACACGTACAAGTGTCACGTGCGTTGGTGGCGCCAAGAGGAGGGGTCTCCCTGCTGATTGGAGAAGGCTTGCCGGTTCGTCTTTTCATTGGTTGCGTAGTGTTTCAAGTTCACGCCTTCTTTGCCCCCCCGGACAAATGATTTCAGTCTACTTTATTGCGGCTTATAAAATCTTCAGTTCCTGGCTAAGAAAAACGGAATCCCGACCCTGGATTCCTGTCAGGGATTGGCGGACGCTTCCCGCTAGTCCCGCCTCTCGCCGGAGTACCTCATCGCCTCCTTTCCTCGTTTTGAGTCTCAGTTTCTTAAATCCCCTTAGTGATTGGCTATGTCCCCATGCCCCGATCTATTCCGATTGGCTTAGTTCTCCATAGGGCACTTCCCCCAGTCTTCGTTATAAGTTCCCTCAGCGTCCATTCCTTTTACTCGTTTCGTGATTGGATAAATCCATCTTCCTCCTCGCTATTCATTGGGTGAATGTCGGCCAGGGCACCCTGGAATGCGTGCGCAACTCGGGTGGCTCTCGCTGCCGTTCTGTTTCTCGCTCCCTCTTTTACTGAAGCTGCCGCCGTCGCTGCCGCCGTCTAGGTAGGCGGGCGGGGGGGAGAGGGAGCCGCCAAGCTTTGGGCTTCCTTCCTCTCTTTCCTCTCCTCACCGTCGCCCAGGCATTGGCTGGGCGACCAGGCCGCGTCCCCCCCATTGGGGGGGAGGGGGGCCATTGTTATGGAGACAGATTCTGGGGATCCCCCATCGCCGCCCCCTCGATCCCATGCCTCTCGTTCGGTCCTCCACGTTCTCAAGCGGAGGGCTCCGACTTCCGAGGCCTTAGAAGTGGCTACGAACGGCAGCAAGCCATGTTTGCCTCTGGCCACAGCCAATGATGCAACAACAACCATGGATCCCGGAGAAGCCACTCTGCCAACTGGCACTACGACCCCGGCAGCACCTTGCAACGCTACAGAGGTGACGTTAACCACGATGATGGCAGACATGACCCTGGTGGCCAACAATACTGGAAAGGGGGCAGATCCTGGAGAGACGAGGTCTGAAACCCTAACCATGGGTGCAGGAGATGGGTTTTCAGCAGACACGGGTCCTGTGGTCAATTCGGTGGCTCCTGTCCTTGCTAAGGCTATTGTGAGTGACGGCGTGGGGATGTCATCCGTGGCTTTGCCAAGAGACGTGGTAGTGAACCCCCTACCAGTTCCACCAGCTTCACCGACGGTGATCGTGGTGGCCCCAAGTCCTATGACCCCACCGGAGAAGACTTCACCAACATCTCCAGAGGGTTTCACACCTCATGACTTTTCCGTTCCTCGGCCCCCTCAAGACATGGGTTCCCAGTCTAGTCTGGGCACTACTGCATCCAAAGTCCCTCCGGCTTCTGATACTTTGAGTTATTTAGATTCTGTTAGTCTCATGTCAGGCACGTTGGAGTCACTGACTGGTCCTGGATTCCTTGACGATGTTAGCTCTCTGGGGTCTGATTCTGAAATCAATGGACTTGCCTACCGTAAGACTGATAAATATGGCTTCCTGGGGGGCAGCCAGTATTCTATTACACTGTAAGTATTGGCACCACTATGATGGCCTTTCTATGCTGGGGAGAAGAAATGCTTTATCCCAATCAAACTAGTCTAGTGATAGGCATCACTCTCACTTGGACTAGGATGCTGATAATGGAAAGCTTCAAATTTCTGCCCTGTGGGCCATCAGCTCTTATCCTGGTGAAAGTCAACTCAGGAGAAGTAGTTGTGTCTTAAGTACTATCCTAATTACGCTGCCACTAAGTTAAAGAGTATCAGTGGTCTATTATTGATTAGCTTTCTTAAATGACTTTTTTCTAGTTTGAGAGTAGTGGCTCTGGGATATAATGTTCTGGGGAGATAAAATAATGCTTCATTTTTCTGATTAGCATCCAGGAAAGAATAATGAAAAAACATCCTATTGGTTTTCAGCAAAAAAAACCTTCCCTTTCTTCTGATCTTTCTGTACTTGTCATGCATCAAATTTGAAGGGTGACACCAACAAATTGCATTTTACTTCCTCTAATGAAGTGGACAATACTGTGCACACTATTCATTTCTGCATGGGAGGGAAGGTCCATAAATGTGAGTAGCTTGGGGCAATAGAATAAACAATTGGACTATCTCAGGTTCTTTTTCCTTAAATACTTAAATATCACATTGTAACATTGGTTCTCTGGTGTGCCAAATGAGTCATTTCTCTGCTCCATATATAGCTAAGATGTATTTCTATCTTCTTTTCCATAACTATATTTTTCCTTTTCAGTTTTCATGTTCTTCCCTTTGGTGTGAAATCAGAATCATGTCCTTGGGGGTGTGGCTTCATACATTTTTTCATTGTGATTGAGTGGCTGTATTTCTTGACTTGGCCCATAAGTGTGATGGATTTTTTTCTTTTGTTTTGAGCACCAGTAATGTAATTCCAGACTTTCTATGGTTTCTCATTGGTCTGAATACTTGTAATAAAAATTGTTCCACATACCATTCTCTTTAAATCATCTCTATTGCAGTAACTGCATACTTTTGTAATGATGCAAAAAGAAAAGCAGCAAAAAAAATGTACTGCTTCAGGATTTTGACTGGTCAAAACTTGAAAGGATGAAGTCTTCTTAAAGCCAAGATTGAATCTGATAACTATCTGATATGTATAGACATTATAGTTTTCATGGTAATTATAGATAAGTAGCTTGCCACTGCCTCCTGGATTTATTTATTTATTTGCTTCCCAGTCTAGCCTATAATTCTGGCATTTCACTGGGGCACTGTTTCTCAGCCTTGGCAACTTGAAAATGTGTGGAAACATTGCACTAGGGTGAATATAAGCATTTCCCATCCAAATTCTTGCAAGTTTGCTTCTGCTTAATTTCTGAGCTAGATAAATTCAGGGAGATGCTGCCTCCCATTAGATAAATTTGTAAAAGCTCTGTGCACACATCCCACAAGCCTTAATTTCAAGCAGCTTTTAAAGCTCTTGATTGTTTTAGAATCAGCTTATGTTTCCCATGAGACTGCAGCTGAGAGAGGGTGGCAGCTACAGTAATGAATTTGTGCTGAGGTTGATGCATTCTTTGTGCAGTCTGAAAAAGCACGTGTTGCCGTTCCAGAAGAGTTTTCCAGCATTGCCATTTGGAATTTGACTATTTCTTTTCTCTTGGCTTTCTCTGCCACAGGGTCTCAACATCCTATTCAGCCAGGAAATTTAGAGTTGATTGAAAAGGTTATCATGCAGCAGTCTGGGAAGCGGTGAGCTTGTGGCCTTCGATCACAGATGCAGCATTATAACATGTACCGCTTTCCACGGTCCCTGAGTGGCAGGTGCCAAACTACACCCAGTTAGCATTTCAAACTCATATGGCTATTATAGACTGGTGACTGGAAGAGAGTATTTTTTTTCCCTGTGGCCGCAATCTCTTGTGGGATGTAACACTGTGTGTGTACACATCTAGACCTTGACCCATTCATTACGGTGTCCATTTGGGCACTAATGCAGAAATTCCAGCAATTGTCTCCGAAACTGATCATTCATTAAAGAAAAAGATTTGCTAACAAATGCCAACTTTTCTTATGCAGATTAGATTCAGCCTGAGGTATTTTGAGATGCTGAAGGAAATTTCACAACCATTTTTCTAGTTCTAGAAACCTTTAATGTCTGCCCCTTTGTCTAACAGCAGTCGGTCCTCTTTCAAGGGAAAACAGAAAACGGCAAGATCATAATTACTTTCTCATGTTGTTTTTTAATTCTCAGCAGCTAGCAGGTGAAATTACTCTTCTAAAAAGGAATAGGGTATGGTGCAGACTGTATTCTGTTATAAATTGTTGTAGCTAATTGCTATTTATAAGCATTATCTCCAAAGAATTGTCTCTGAACTCTTGTTTAGGTTGCCATTAAAATAATAGATGGAACAAACCATGCCAATTTTTGCTAAATATAAAAGTTTCTTATAGATTTACATATGTAAAAAAAAGTGTGCCTGCTGCCCATCCTGAGCCTGCTGAGGGTGCTGATATTTTTTCTGCAGGAAAGCAGCTAATAACAAAGCATGTTAACATTATAAATTATAGTATAAGTTTCGCTTTGTTTCAGTTGGCATACATACTGTGGGAGGGGATGATGGTGTTTCTTTGTGGCAAGATTCTCTTTTTGGTTGTGGATTAGCTGCTATTCCTGCCTAACCATGTGTACTAACCTTATGTCGTTCTCAGCTGCTTGTGGAGTGGGAACCCTCTACAGAAAGGGTTATTTTTTTTGAGGAAAGCTGATCAGCACATCCAGAGTAACCAATAGAAAAATAATTGTATGTTAAGAACTAACTTGGTTTACAATTGAAAAAGAGATGGTAGTATTTAGTATTTGACTAAGCTCTGGATATATTTTCCAGTTACATTCACTTTTATTCATAGCTTAACCTGGAACAGAGGGTTAGAAAAGCAGTCTAGAATTGGGGTTTGCAGTTTACACTTAATCATCTTTCCCCCCTACCTTATTCAATAATCAAACATTAGCTACAGCATGAGTGATATAATTTAGTCGTGCAATAGTATTTGCTTTTTTCCTCCCCTCACAAATCATTTCTTAGCAAATATAAAAGTTTGCCTTTGCCTTCTTCCAGAATGTTCCTTGGACTTCCTGGACTGGAGTTATCACCTTGGGATTTGCTGATGGGGTCCAATTCAACTACTAAGCAGGCTTCTCATGCTTTTGAGTCCAAATAAAATTGGCCAGGTGCTGAGACCTGGATATTGATCAGTGTGATCCAAATTACCTCTTGTCTATTTCGTGTTTATCCTTGCTAGGAAGATTTGATCAAGTCCAGGATTGCATCTGTGATACGATCATGGTCAATAAGTGACCGGAGGCTGGTTGATAGTCTTCTTTAGGGCAGTGAAAGACCTGCTTAATAATGTTCGGGCATCTGCTTCTTTTGACAGAGAAAATATGCTCCACAAAAGCATCAGTCACTGCCTTCTTCCTATTGGTGTGACTGTGGGAGAACAGTATTCTTTTCGCCCACTCAGAATATTTATTTCTATGACTTTTTTACAATCGGTCTCACCACTTCCTGTTTGGCAAGCAGCCCTTCCTGTTTTTTGCTGGGTTTTGTTAATGAGACCCTGCCTAGATCTTTCTTTATGATCACCATCATCCTGAACCCCCTTGCCTGAATCTAATGAAGTTGGGTACCCTTATAATTGGATGCTACACAATTCTAGTTTTTCATATAACCAACCAAATTCTCATTGCCCCATAAGCTCTCAGGGAAGGCTTGATGAATTGTGACTCACAGCAGGCTAAGGCAGTTTCCTAGTTTCAGATCATACTAGCCCAGCTGCCCTGCACGTTCTTTCATGTCTTTGTTTTATTGCTAAGGTGGAGGCTATGTGTGAACCTTGTTTGTGGTGGTGATGTGCATAAGCTGATCTTGGAGGCAATAATGGGCATTGAGAAACCATAAACAGAAACATTCAGTGAGATACTGTCAAACAGGAAAGACCACACACACAAAACTTCGATTAAGCTGATTTATTGCTAAATGCCTGTGCATACAGATCTTCTCAAGTAAAGGTCAGCACCTGGTTATAGTTAGATAAAGGTCAACAGCTTTGGGGGGGGTGTTGGACTTTGTAGCTTCATATGGATTTTAGGCTGATCCCTCTTTTCACTCCACTCCCAGGTTCTGCCTTTCCTTTTCCTACAGATACAGATGTATAAAGAACTGTTCTCCCATAATCCTCTTGGAACCATAAGGCAAGAGAGAGATGCCAAAAGTATAATTCAGGATTTTTTTTTATCATGTACAGCACCTGACTCTGTATGTGTGAACAGTGAAAAATGTGTTGTTATAGTGTCTATAGCCTATTTAGCTAAATATAGACTAACAAAGTTTGTATGTTCAGAATGGGATGACTGCATGCTAGCTTAGAGGGCGTTTGTGACCTGTCTTGTCACAATGAACTATGGGTTGTAGACGAGAGCTTCCAAGAACTAAGACTCTGGGGGAAAAGATAGATAAGCCTTTGAGAAGTTTAATTTGCCACCACCCCAAGCTTTGTCTTTTACAGTTTGAATTGTTTTGCTCTCCCTTCCTCAGTCAAACAGTGCTGGTATGAAATCTCATAATATGCAGGAGAGGCTGACAGACCCATCATGTTGCATAGCTCCTTAGCCTTTCCCCTGAAGAGCAGTAAAACTTAGAATTGTGCAAGACACGACATTTTAGCATATTTCTTAGCTCATCGTTTTCCTCAATTGCTTTTTTGTTGCAGGGAAAGCGCCATCCCGGTGGACGTGGCCAGGCAGAGGGAGCTTAAGTGGCTGGACATGTTTTCTCATTGGGATAAGTGGCTGTCACGTAGATTTCAGAAGGTGAGCAGAGATCAAGGTTAGAGACCTCTGTTCCTGGCTAATAAAGAAGAGCTTTAACTTCTGCTCGGGAGTTTTGAATTTCTGTTTCTTTATTTCACATATTAATGCTTGTTCATTTTATTGTAGGTGAAATTGCGGTGCCGGAAAGGGATTCCCTCTTCTCTCCGTGCCAAAGCATGGCAGCTACTCTCAAACAGCAAGGAGCTTTTGGATCAAAATCAGGGAAAATTTGAGGTATTTCCATGCACCCTTTGAGGCTACTAAAATAGGGAGGTTTACTGTCTTGGAGAATGCAGAATGTTGGATTTTCAACAGGTATATTTATATCCTACTTTTCCAAAGTCAACTTATTCTGAGGTAGCTTACAAGTAATATCAAGCTGTATTAATAAACTGCAATAAAAAGCCCCTAAACTTAACATCTGGGAACTCTCCTGAATAACTGAGTGAGAAGGAAGAAGGTTGGGCTAGAACAAGCAGTGACCTGGTGTCTTTCTGGAATCCTTTCCAGAACAGCAATTGATAATCGATCCTGTGGAGCAGGATTTCTCGACCTTGGCAGCTTGAAGATGGGTGGACTTCAATTTCCAGAATTCTGGGAGTAGTTGAAGCTGCCAGGGTTGAGAAACACTGCATAAAGGAAAAGTCTCTTAAGATAGGCTTCACCGACTTTCCTTGTTGGCTTTTTCTTTTCTGTTAGGAATTGGAACGTCAGCCTGGTGATCCCAAATGGCTAGATGTGATTGAGAAGGACCTCCATAGGCAATTCCCTTTCCACGAGATGTTTGCAGCTCGGGGAGGCCATGGGTGAGAGAATTAAAGAAGGGATTCTTTTTGTTCCAGTGCTCAGATCTTTACGATCCTTTCCTTTCTCAGAATTCATAGAACGGTTCTCCCTCTACACACCAGAGCAGCTCGATATCCCCAACTCCTTTTGAAACTTTCATAAGTAAACAGATACTCCTTGACTTAACCATTGGAACTAGAATTTCCATTGCTAAACAAGGCGGTTATTAAGTGAGTCGTGCCCGATTTTATGAACTTTTTTGCCACGGTTATTGAGTGAATTGCTGCAATTGTTAATCAGGTGGTCGTTCAGTGAATCCAGCTTCACCAATTGACTTTGTTTGTTGGAAGCTGGCTGGGAAGGTTGCAATTGCACGATCCTGGGGTGTTGCAACCCTCATAAATACAGGCTAGTTGCCAAGGGCCTGAATTTTGATCACATGATCACGGGAAAGCTGTAAATGCGGCCACCAATCGTAGGTCACTTTTTTCAGTGCTGTTGTAACTGAACAGTTGCTAAACAATGGGGTTGTAAGTCGAGGACTACCTATATTGGCCCAGCTCTTTCTTACATTGAATTTCCTCTACCACCCCAGCTCTACACCTGCTCCTGTGTCTGATGTGCCTTTCATTATCTCTAGACTTAAGATAATGGGACATAATGTTAATCAGGAATTCACGTCTGCCAGGCCACTTTTAGCTGTTTCATTAACATCCTGGCACAGGATCTGAGCAATGCTGAGCATTAACTAGCCCACAGGCTCTGTTTCTAATTAAATACCCTCAAAGAAACATAATGGAGAATTCTGCTTTCCTAAAGTTTGGTCTTGCGAACAGGGAGCTCCAATAGGGTCCAAAAGTCTAAATGAAATTAATTGCACTCCTCATCCTTCTCCATCGCAGGCAGCAGGACCTCTATCGCATCCTGAAAGCCTATACCATCTACAGGCCTGAAGAAGGTTATTGCCAAGCACAAGCACCCGTAGCTGCCGTTTTGCTGATGCATATGCCCGCGGAGGTGAGGAGCTGCTTCATTCACACTGCAGTTGCCAGTTTAGAAAGCATAGTTTCTCTGGGAAAGAACCATACTTCCTAATTTTAATTTATATTTTCCAAATATTTTAGCAGGTAGGGGCATGTATATAAGAGTCGCTGCAGCTTGGAAGTCTTCTTTTGCACCAGGCATCCTGCTTTGTTACATGCCAGGGTCTGTCCTTTTGAACTACCAGTGAATGTTACCAGTTCTAGAAGCAGGGTCCAGAGCATTGACAGTATCCGTGTTTTCATGCAGCGTTATGCATGTATGGTATTAAAACATAACGGTTACACTTTAACTGGCAGCCCTGAGGGATCTGGGCCTGTTCTCAAATTGTGACTTTGTTCTCCTCCTTTGGCTTTGCTACCAGCTCTGAGGTGTTACTTCTGTGTCATTGAAGCAACCTGGAAGCAAGGGTTTTCAAACTTGGGAACTTTAAGACTTGTGGACTTCAACTCCCAGAATTTCTCAGCCAGGGGTGGCTGAGGAATTCTGGGAATTGAAGTCCACAATTCTTAAAGTTGCCAAGTCTGAAGATTGCTGGTATAATACCTCTGAATTGAATTTGCTGGCTTAGTTCACCTAACTGGAATGTTTTAACTGAGAGTTTGCTAGAATGCTGGTCTGCCATGCATCCAGCTGTGGCTGCTGCGATTATCTGGGCTAAAGATTCCTTGATCTCTCTCCACAGCAAGCTTTCTGGTGCCTGGTGCAAATCTGTGAGAAATATCTTCCTGGATACTACAGTGCTGGATTGGTAAGTTTGACTGCATTCCCATAGAGAAAAGCAGTTTAGCATTCTTCACTGGGAATACCTTTTGTATTACATGTAGTCCTTGCGTAACAATCGGCCGCTTAGCAACTGTTTGAAGTTCCGATGGCTGCGCCCTCCCTCCCCCCTCCCCCTTGCATTCATGTGATTGCCTTTTGAGTACTTGGAAACTGGCCCACATTTATGACCATTTGCAGTGTCCTGCGGAGACATGACTATGATTTACGATGGTTTCTGGCAGAAAAACAGACAGTGGGTTAGCTTACTGACATGCTTAACAACAGCCGGACATTTGCTTAAGAGCTATTGCAAAATGAAATTGTAAAATTAGGTTGGTCATGTGGATGCCTCAACTTATGACCATCATAACTTACAGTGGAAAATCTTGGCTGCATTACAGTCGTAAGTTGAGGACTAGCTGTACACAAAAACTTCCAGTGTAAAGATCGGCGCTAGGGGTTCCATGTCTTATTAAAATGCTGAAGATCCTGGAAATAGTAACCTGGGTGTCACCAGAAGAAAAATAGCATAACAGCTCTTTTTTTTTAAAAGGTGGATTTTTTAAAACAGCCAAAATAGATGTGTACAAATAAATAAGTAAACACACAGGTAGTCCTCAACTTATAACAGTTCATTTAGTGATCATTCAAAGTTACAATGGTACTGAAAAAAGTGACTTCATACTTTATGACCATTGCAACTTCCCCCAGTCACATGATCAAAATTCAGACACTTGGCAACTGACTCATATTTATGATGTTCGCAGTGTCCTGAGATCATGTGATCCCCTTTTGCAATCTGACAAGCAAAGTCGAGGAAATCAGATTCATTTAAGAACCATGTTACTAATTTACTAACACCTATGTTGATTCACTTAACAACTATGGCAAGAAAGGTCGTAATACGGGGCAACATTCACTTAACAAATGAATCAAATTTCAACAGAAATTTTGGGCTCAATTGTGGTTGTAAATTGAGGACTACCTTGTTGGAAGCTTAACAAACCAGCTTTGATTTTACACATTGTTGACTTAAAAAAATAGGTTGCATTGATGAAAAATATTCATTGTTTGCTGAATCTTGGCAATGGAATCTTAAGAGTATTGGAGGGAATTATGAATGGAAGGGTACCTGATTCAGTTGTAGGTTTCCAATCTAGCTGAAACGGATGGAATTCCCTTATTAATTTGTACAGAAATTATGGTTCTTCTCGGTATGATTTAAGGAAGACTTAACATTATCTCTAATAGAGGGCTATGTTGTATTGGAGGATGGAATTTCCTGGAAAAGAGTGGGAGGCCCGGAGTTTGAAAAATATTCAGTAGGGCATTGAATTTGAAGGCAACCCCCCCCCCCGACTCCTTTACAGCTCTTTAAAGGAGCTCATCTTTTTCAGGATTGTGCAGGTGCAGAGCAGTTTTGAAAATAGATCTCTTGCCTTTAAGGAATTCCTGGCAGATGCCACCTGCAAACTTTTTGCCTTCCACAGCTAGAATCTGTACTTCTTACAAAGTTGGTTTTTTCTTCTTTTTTTGGCAGGTTTCTTCTCCAACTTCTCACTTCCCCTTCTCCCCCACTCTGGGTCAACTTGAAATTTCATATTCTGTGAATGATCTTAAGACTGAGTTAAATCATGAGTTATCTGTCACGAGTAGGTCAGGTTCTGGCAAGTGTCTATTGATGGGCAAAGCTGAGCCCTGCCGTGCCTCTGAGGTCAGTCTGGTTTGTTAATTGATTGAATTGAAAGGAGCAACACAATTTTGCCTACAGAAACCTTGAACAGTGGCAACCACTTCAGTCTTGCAGATTGTATTGGCCTTCAGGTAACAGGATGACCCCTTTGTAAAGTTTATTTGACTTTGGTTTGGAATGTCATATGAGCCATGCTTTAGGGCTCAGTCTGGTGTCTGAACTGAGCCAGTTGGACTGTGTTCATCAAACGGTGGCTAAGCAAACAATAGCTTGGTGCAATGTACTATTCAATTCTGCGTCTCATCTCCCCAACTTTCTTTGCTGCTCACAGAGGTTATAAACCCTGTCTAGGCCTCGGAGGAGAAGATAAAAGCATTGGTGGGGGAAATGCAGGCTATCACTTCCAGAGCCCCTGTATTCACTTCAGATCTCATCTGTGCTTCTTGTTCAGGAGGCAATCCAGTTAGATGGGGAGATCTTCTTTGCACTTCTCCGACGAGCGTCTCCCATCGCCTATCGTCACCTGAAGAGATACAAGATCGACCCCATCTTGTATATGACCGAGTGGTTTATGTGCATCTTCTCCCGGACCTTGCCTTGGTGCTCTGTGTTACGTGTGTGGGATATGTTTTTCTGTGAAGGTGAGCTGTGTCCTTCAATTCTCTTTGGCTTTCTGTCAAGTTCTGCATGCCTGTTTCTTCCCTTAACACAGATTTCATCAAGAAGGGAGAAAACCCACAGTGATTCTGCAATCTCCTGATTCCACATATACACACACCTCGAAATACTTTTAATTCACTGGATGAGGAAAACCTACCCAACCATTATTTATTGGCTGTCTTGATGGCTGTTTGACAAAACAAAAAAACGGGCGGAGGGAGAGAAAGAGCAGAATTATATGATGTCAAACCTAGTCTGACATAATTATTCTCGAAATGGTACTGGGGATCATTCAATATGTTTATTAGGAGAACTAAGCTGACGAGTCAGATGTTTGTGAATTATGCATGGTATTGAAAACATGGATTTTGTCTGTCTGGGTGCGGACTGATGCATTGTAACTTGGAATTTCATTGTATTCCACAAGGCTTGTCTTTGCAAAATGCTTGGAATGCTTGGGATAACAGCTGCAGTATTTATTTTATTCTTATTTATTTATTCAATCAAACCCACCTCAACCAAGTGATTCTGTGCTAGAACCCGGGATTATTAAATAAAAAATTGGATTATAGCGGTACGTTCAGAATAGGCCAAGTGCACAGGAGCTTATTATAGAACCCTCTCTGTTCTACAACAGTGTTTCTCAACCTTGGCAACTTTAAGATGGATGGACTTCAACTCCCAGAATTCCCCAGCCGGCTTGTCTCCCAGTTTGAGAGTCAGATTAAGATCACTTAGACCAGTGTTTTACAACCTTGGCAACATTAAGATGTGTAGACTTCAACTCCCAGAATTCCCTGCTTAAAATTGCCAAGGTTGAGAAACACTGTTCCACAATGTAATGATGATTACTCATTTAGTGAGCAATAAAATGCAGATTAAAATCAGGGGTAGGTGGTGCATTTTCCTAGCAGCTCGCAACATACATCTTCACAAACACCCAGAGGCCCCTGATTGGTTGCACATTGCTTAAAACGGGATGCTGGCTTTGAGAGCCAAATTCAGCTAGGATTGTTTTAAAACTTTATGACATTTCTCCTTTAGTGGACTCTGCATCAATTTTGCATTTGCAACCCTACCATTGTCCTTCTATTCTAACTTCCTGTGTCCCTTTTCTTTGATTTGGTCCTCTCTTCCTCCTCTTTATGTTCTTGCAGGAGTGAAGATAATTTTCCGGGTGGGCTTAGTGCTACTCCGGAACGCCTTGGGCTCGGTGGACAAGCTGCGATCTTGTCAAGGCATGTATGAGACAATGGAGAAATTGCGAAATCTCCCCATTCAGGCCATGCAGGAGGAATACTTGGTCCACGAGGTGAGAATCCCAACTTTTTTCTTCGTTGCTGTTCTTTATTTATATTGCTGCCCTGAAATTTCTGGCCATGTAATGGAACACGCTTTTCAAATATAATGTAAGCCAGGGATGGGCAGCTACGATAACTTTACAACCAGTGGACTTCAACTCCCAGAATCCCTGAGCCAGCCAGGCTGCAGGCTACTTCACCTGATCATTCCCTGGGCACCGTCTCTTGTCCTCTTCTCCCAAGGTCATCCCATTACATACTATTACATCATCCCACAATTACATTTCCCTGAGATCTTCAAGCCTGCTGAAATAAGTCACATTTTGAATTTATTAATGGACTTTAAATTCAGATACTTAGTTGGGATGCCTAATGCTTCTTGAATACCATATTTATGCAGTAATTTGAAATTGGCTGAGAAGAATGTCCTTAGCTTTTCTTTAAGTATGTAATAAAAAAAAATACTTAGAAGGTTTTTCCTGGCTTTAATGCTGTGATGGGCACTGCTAGGGGTGTGTGTGTGTGTGTGTGTATTGGGGCAATATGTTGACTCTGTAAATGCTTAGAGAGTGCTGTAAAGCACTTTGAAGTAGTATATAAATCTAAGTGCTGTGTGTGTGTGTGTGTGTGTGTAAGTGTGTAAAAGCAGAGGATCTCCTTCCACTGACAGGAATTTTGAATGAGATCTGCTCCTGGCTTACACGTACTTCATGACAAAGTCCTCACCTGTAGACGGGAAGATGGATCAAAAGATGCCACATGTAGTTATTCCTCCTTCTCCTCTTTCTTTCTCCCATCTCATTCAGGTGATTAATATTCCAGTTACTGAAGCCCTCATCGAGCGAGAGAATACCACCCAACTAAAAAAATGGCGGGAAACTCGGGGGGAGCTCCAGTACAAGCCCTCCCGCCGACTCCATGGCTCACGAGCCATCCTTGAGGAGCGCTACCGTATGAACCCTCCCCTGACCGCCAGTGCCAGCCTCCTTAGCCTCACAGGGCTAAAACACAGGGTTGCTCTAGGCAGCATCAGCGGCCCCTCCTTCTCCCCAGCACATTCCATAAGTACCCTGGCTGAGTCCCCTTCCCCGCTCCCTCCTGCTGCCCAGAACCAGGTGGTGGTCTCTGAAGGTCTTCATGCTGCTCTGCCCTCCCCTACTGGAAACAACACCCCCTTAGGTGGCCCTAAGAAAAGCAGCAGCAGCAAAGTGGAAAAGCGGAAAGAAAAAGAACGGGAGAAGCAAGAGAAGATAGAAAAGGAGAAGCAGAAGCTGCAGAAGGAACGGGAGAAGAAGCTGCAAAAGGAGCGGGAGAAGCAGGAAAAGGAGCGGGAGAAGAAGCAGCAGAAAGAACGAACCAAAGAGGAAGCCAAGCTAAAGAAAGAAAGAAAGATGTCTTTGAGAAAGAAAGAACCCAAATCAGCCCCTGAAGATGGAAAAGACGGGGAAACCCCAGGGGGGTCTGTGCTCCAGGACACTTATTTTTGAATAATACTGAGGGGTGGGACAACACAAGGCTGAACAATTCCCAAGGACCAAGAAGATAGTTGCCACTAGAGACATAGTGTGATTGAAGGACCCAAAGGACCAGAGGACGTACGCCAAAGGGACTCATTATTGGACGTGGAAAACCCCCAGACTGAAGGTGAGAGAGCGTTGGAGGAGAATTACTTAGGGTCCTCATGTTTACCTCTTTCGTGTGCCTGAGGTGGGCTGGAGCCCCCCATCCTGCTCTCCTCGACCGTAATGACCAGAGAGAAAAGGTCCATGGTAGATGCTGTGCTCTATGCATGGATATGGAACTTGGTGGTCCCCTGTGAATTTCACCACAACCTACAAATGCAACTGCACCTACCCTCCTTTGTTCCCCCCAAGCTGGGAGCCTAAACACGGAAGTAATTGCATTCTTAACAAGTACTTTGTATGGAACCATCTCCTTTTAAAACTGTCTAACCACTCCAGGGATGACATCACCTCCCTTAGCAGAGAGGCCAAATATGGACTCTGGCCCTTCCCCAATATTAACAGGCACTTCTGTCATTGCAAGGTGGATTGGCCCTTTTATCGCATATTTCCCCCCAATTCTCCTCAATGGAGCTGATGGGCTCCACAAGGCACTTAGGAAACATCTCACACACATACACACACACACACACACACACACATACACACACACGTATATAGGTACTTCCCCTTGCATGGCTTTCTACAGACTAAGCTAGCTGCCTTGTCTCCTGGCCAAATTGCCTCTCCAGAACCATTTGTTGATAGGCAGACATGGAACCAGGGTGGCTTCTTCGAGCTTGGACGTTCAGGAAAAGAGAAGCTCGATTCTGTTGGCTTTTTACAACAATCTGTCTCAAAACCGTGGTGGGAAATTAAGGAAGCCAGGCTTGGCCAGTTGGCTATTCCTATATAAGGGATTCCTAGCAGTCAACAAGGGGGAGAAAAAAAAATCTCAGTTTCTAGAAAAGTTTGCTGCATTAGCTCAGCAAAGAGAAGTAATTAGATTGGGTCCAAAAGAGAGGCTGCATTTTCTGGTTCTCTGTTTTTGGCATGTAGTCAAATAGTTTCAGTCAGAACAAAGAAAAAAAAAGTCAATTTCCTGCCCTTCAGAAATAGCTTTTGGCAGAAACATTCCTGAGAAATCTAGGAGGGTAACCTTTGTCTGATTGCTTGCTATTTTGTCCAAAAGAGGTATTTACTTTTGGGGAGAACTTCCGTCCCCAAGAGGAGATTTGAGCAAACTCTCTCCAAATGGCTATAGCTGTAAATTATTGAAATGTTTGTTACTGGATTACATTTAGCGTTTAATCCTATCCCTTAAAAACAAAAGGTCCTTCTCCATTACAGAATAAATTCCTTAAGAATTAGTTTTTCACCGTCACTGATTTACTTAGATAGTAAATGAAGATAACTGAGAATGTTTTCCTATTTTAGTGCTGCTCCCCTGTCTTCACAAAAGCTACAGGGTTTCTTGAGCAGTAGCTGATAAAGCTGGTTTAAAACTGGTTTATAGCTTGTTGATGTAGATATTAACAAATACGATGCATGCTTGATTTCCTTGTCCCACAAAAATGGATCTTTAAAGCAGTGTTTCTCAACCTTAGCAACTTTAATTCCCAGGATTCCCCAGCCAGCTTGGGGAATGGTTGCGGAATTCTGGGAGTTGAAGTCCACACATCTTAAAAGCTGCCAGGATTGGGAAACACTGTTTTAAAGTAATTGGAATGTATTTTGCTCTAGACATTTTTTTTTCTGTGGTTCATTGTGCGGCCACAGTGGAGTTCTGTTTCCTTTTAAGGAACTACATGCCGATACTCCCTTGCAAACCTTTAATGGTGGAGCAGAAGGCAATTGTCAAAACTCTGGGTTTCTATTCTATGCAGTCTAGGAAAATAATATTGGCAGGCCGTAGGGTTGATCAGCTTAGGAATGATGGAAAGAGATTTGGGGAATTTGAAACTGGAAGATAAATTCTTGCTGCCTTGGAAGTCAGATTGGGCTACAGTATTATGAGTCCATACTGGATTCGTGAGTTCCCAATTTTTCCGCAGCATCTTTTCCTTCTCTTGTGTCACGTTCTCTGCAGTTGTGAATAGTTTGAAAATCATGAGCCTGTTTCAGAATCTCACTTCCCCAAATATATCTGTACCAAATAGCAGTTTCTCTTTGGATTCACATCCCTAACAAAAATGTTCTATTAGACTATTTTCCTCTCTGTATATACTTTTTCTCTCTAACACATATATTATATATATGTTTCAGTATTGTAATTATGTATACAGATACTTGGGATTTTTTTGATTTTGTGCTCTTATTTAATGGGACAGACACTGGAAATTAGGAATCCATCATCTCCCCATGCCTTATTGTTATTTTTAAAGTTTTTTTTAACCACTGCCCCTAATTTGGTCAAGCAGTAAATTACAAATAACAACTCTTGGCTGTCCTACTTGTTAATAATTTTTCTTTGTTTTTTTTAATAATTTGTGCTTCATTTTTATTAGATTCCCCATCCTCCTGCATTGCTTTGTTTAAAAATGTGAACAAAACAAAATAGAGACCACATTTGTTGAGTGTCTTTGTTAACCAAGGATTAATTGGAAATTCCAACACCAGAAGTTTTTAAGAAGAGATTGGACAATCATTTGTCTGAAATGGTATAGGGCAGTGATGGCAAACCTTTTAGAGACCGAGTGCCCAAACTGCAACCCAAAACCCACTTATGTAATCGTCGGGTGCCGGGTGGATGTGGCCCATTGGGTGGGCATGGCCCATTGGGTGGGCGTGGCTTTGGTGGTAATGGCAGACTGGGTGGGACTAAAAAGTTCAATCAATCCTTTCCAACTTTGCGAGATCTTTTTTTTCCCGCAAGAAGTTGAAATTGATTGATTGAGTGAACCTCTTTTTTTTTTGCATATGGCAGCAGAGGCCTAAAGCAAAAAGGTTTTTTAAAACACAGCTGAAGGCCTAGGACTGGGGTGACAGCGTGCGTGCCCATACTCTGCGTGCCACCTGTGTATAGGGTTTCCTGCCTGAGCAGGTGGTTTGAATAGTAGACCTCCAAGGTCCCTTCCAGTTCTGTTGTTCTATTATTTCTGAATTAAGCTATTTATTTTTATGGGATTGTTCAGATCTAAAGCAGTGTTTTGTTTATTGAAGAAGTCCAGGTTCAGAAAGCCTGTACCATACAAATTTCAGTTAACCAGAAGGAGGTGGATTCAAACAACCCAGAGTGGTTTAGATTTAGTCCTAAATTGTGCTGGGAGTCAGACAGCTTCCTTCTGGACAGCTAACTGCATACTCTGACATTTGTGACTGAAATCAAGTCCTAGAGAGGCTTTGATTTTTCTAGGCACTCCATCTCATCGTACTTTTCATCCCATGCCCTGCGAGGGCAGAGTGCAAAATGGGCAGGGATGCGAGACTGTTTACTTTTCCACTAAACATGTCCAAGGTTGTACCAACCCTTATGGTGCCATCGCAGATTTGTTTTCCCCTTCAGAGGGAAAACTGTAGGAAATGGAAAGGGAGATTACGGCTCCTTTGGCAGCTGCCAAATGAATGATACAATCATCCAAGACTCGTGTGGACAAGCCTGGCATGGGGGAGAAGTGGAAGTCTTGGTTCACAGCAAAACCTCCAGTTGGTTCAGCTCTTTAAAGCATTTTATCCCTTGGGTCTGTTACAATGATTTGGACACACTGCACATCCTGTTCTTTGAATAGTACCTGGATGGGCCTCTGGTGGAATTTTATTTATTTTTATTTATTTATGAGACTTATATACCGCTTTAAGTGCAAGCACTCTCTAAGCGGTGTACACCAGTAAGCAATGTATATATATATTTACATTGCCCCCAACAATCTGGGTCCTCATTTTACCTACCCCGGAAGGATGGAAGGCTGAGTCAACCTTGAGCCGGTGAGATTTGAACCGCTGACCTGCTGAACACAGTCAGCTAAAGTGGCCTGCAGTACTGCACTCTAACTGCTGCGCCACCTCGGCTCTTCATTTGGCCTTCCCGCTAATCAGTAATATGAAGTATGATGAATCTGCCATGGTCTTCAGAGATTTGAAGTTGCATTCCCCTCCACATGTTTCTGTTGCAGTTCCTTAACCATTCCTAGGAGTTTAATTAGGCTGGGGAAGCGCTTTACTGGAAGGCTGTGATTCTGATAAGAAAATACAGTAGTACCTTGGTACTCATCATTAATTGGTTCTGGGAGGCATGATGAGTACCAAACAAATTTTTCCCATAAGGAATATAGTGAGTCACAACACAGCCGACACCAACAAGTTCTAGCTGGTATGTTGAGTACCAAACAAACAACGAGTACCGGGACAAAATTTTCATGTCAAAATGCATTGAGTACCAAATTCGGTGAGTTTCAAAGCAGTTGAGTACCAAGATACCACTGTAAATATTTCATATCTTCTTTTTTCTACAAGTAATTTCCATGATCCCTTCCCCTCTTCCTAGCCCATACATTGTGATTTTGTAGCCCTCCAGATGTTGAAGTCATCTTGGGTTTAGCCCAGAGTTCCCCCATCTTTCTGGCTTTGTGGAGCCAACGGGGGGGGGAAGGGAGATGGTTCTGCGTGAGCGGCAGGCAAGCGCACTCACATGCGCAGCACCATTTGCATGAGCGGCGGGCATACACGCCCCCTGCACATATTCGTTTGCCAATTCCGTGGCTCAGTTCCAAATGGCTCAAGGCCTGGTAGTGGGCCGTGCCCCAGAGGTTTGGGACCCCTGGTCTAGCCAACAGGGAATTAACAGCTGTACATCATCTGGAGAGCCATTTGTCACTCACATTGGTGAGTGTTCAAGTTTCATTGGAGACATGGCAGAAGTAGGAAAGGAAAATGAAGCACTATATTGTGGAAGCTAAAACAAGGAGTAAAAGATAAATATACTGGGATTATCTTGGGAACCTGATTCTCTATTCTCTTTGTTGCCAACCGAAACCCCCCCCCACACACACACACACTAAATTTTCATATGTATATTTGGTTTCATTGTAAATAAAGTACAGTAGTGTATGCTAGGCTTTTGCTCACAGCACACACTTCAGTTTTATTCTTTTTTGGTGTGTTTAAGAATCCGGATAGAAAATCTAAGATTTGAGATCTTCAGAATAAATAGTATGCAACATCCCATCTCTTCTGTCTGTCAAGAGTTTCCTGAAGAAGGGAAGCAGGTATTCCCAGGGTGCACTTCCTCCATTGGCTCCCCAAAATTAAAACATCCCCCAGACTCAATCTTTTATTACTGGGAGATCATGTGAGAATCACTGCCCAATGATTCTATGCAGGATCAGACTTCAGAAAAATCAGAAAAGGTGTGGACTCTTCTTGAAAGAGTTAACTGAAGTAAGGATTGCTTTTTTTTTTTCTAAAGCTGAGTTAAATAAAATGAGAATGCAGATGATGCAACTTGTAGTAAAGCTTGAGGAAATCCTTAATGATACATAGAAAACAATATTTCTACTTAAAGTGGGGGTAAAAGCTAATTATTAGGGAAACACCACCATCCCTGCTTTCTCTGTCTACAGTGGTATTTGATATTAGGCCAGAGAAGATCCTCTAACCTAGATACTGATGACCTCAACTAATAGCCCTGGTGGTGCAGTGGTTAGAATGCAGTATTGCAGGCTAGCTCTGCCCACTGCCAGGAGTTTGATCCTGATTAGCTCAAGGTTGACTCGGCCTTCAATCCTTCCAAGATTGATAAAATGAGAACCCAGATTGTTGGGGGCAATAAGCTAACATTTGTAAACCCTGCCCAGAGAGTGCTGTGGGGCGGTATATAAGTCTTAAGCAGTATTGCCAATACTTGTTTAATTAGCATGCCTGCACCACAGTGGCTGTGCTGACTAGAAGTTGTCAATTGTAGCCCCAGCCATCTAGAATCTAGATAGTATCAGACTGCAGAAGCCAATATAGATGGTCTTTTTTCAAAACTGGATTCCATATTTTATTCTAAACCTAATTTGGGAATCTGTGCCCATTTTTGTTAGTAATAGGACCCTGCTGTTTAGTATAGATCTGGCTGCAATATTTGTAGATCCCAGTCCTGCGTAACTGGAAAATAATATTTTGACTTCCTGGAAAAGACCTTGGGGGGGAGGAAACCACTGTTTAATTTTGTTCACTAGACATTGGTGTAACCAAAACCCACAATAAGAAACCCACAAATGTCCCTTTCCCAAGAAGAGCTCTTGTTCTTCCTGAATGCAGTGACTGCCACAAAAAATGAAATGGCTCTCAACTTTTTCCAAAGACATATTTATTAAAAGCATTTAAAGAAGAACCAATATTTTGAAGCAAGAACTATATTTTTCACGATAATCGACTCGACTGAAACTTTAGGCGCCTCCAAATTCATCGATTGCAGCCAATTGTTTGGGGATTGCCGATCGCCCTAGTCCAGGGGTAGGCAACCTTGGCTCTTTTATGACCTGTGGACTTCAACTCCCACTGGCTCAGGAATTCTGGGAGTTGAAGTCCACGAGTCATAAAAGAGCCAAGGTTGCCTATCCCTGCCCTATTCAAAAGGCATCAAACTCTCACTTTCTGGGATGAGCTTCCTCTTCCCCTCCTGCCACTGTTTCCTAGCCCTTTTGACATCCTTCCCAAATTCCCGATGGAGGCAAGTGAAATCCATGTGATAGAACCTTCTTTGTTCTACCGGTTTTGGAGACAGCAAAGGAAGGTCTGTTGCCTTGCAACTTGCTTCTTCCTTTGAGTACTGTTGGCTCTTCAGCCGGTAAAATTGGCCTTCTAACTCAGTAACCAACGCTCGGAGGTACTCAAATCCCGCCGTGCTCAGAGCGCGCACCCAGTCTTCCATGGTCTCTTGATTCTCAGCTGCCATCTTATAGGTCTGCTCAGGGTAGTCATCAGGGTAGCAGATTTTAAAAGTATGAGGCTCAGAGGAGGATTCCTGCAACTCCACCGTGCAGCCTTCTAACACAATGAGCTGACAAGGAGCCCGGTCCCCAGGCTGTTCCCGGCAGATAAGAAGATTTCCTCGGAGCTCACACCAGCAGCGCTGGTAGGAAGCGGTGCGGTTATTTTTCTTGTAAAGGACGCCCTGCCGGTCTGGGGGCTGGTGCAGGTGAGAAGAGGTAAGAATGCTGGCGATGTGGAGTTTGGTAGCGGACTGGCTCTGAAACTGGAGAGAAAATCATAGAAAACAGAGATGAGGGAACCTACAAGAAGAAGATGAAGGAGCTAAAAGAGGAACGGAGCTGAGCACTTGTCCTTAAGCCGGGCTTCCAAAAGTGTGGAATTACATGTCCCCCAGCAACCTGGGCATGTTATAGTTCACTAGCAAAGGATGTTTAAGTCATGCTTAATAGCAAGGCAAAGAAGATCCTCTAACCTGGATACTGAGGATCTCAACTAATAGCCACAATGGCACAGTAGTTAGAATGCAGTATTGCAAGCTAACTCTGTTAACATCCAGCAGTTCAATTCTCACCAGATCAAAGTTGACTCAGCTTTCCATCCTTCCAAGGTCAGTAAAATGAGGATCCAGATTTTTGGCAGCAATATGCTAACTCTGTAAACTGCTTAGGGCTGTAAAGCACAGTGGAGCGGTATATAAGTCCAAGTGCTATTGCTATGCTCCCTTTACTTTAAGAAATGGTAGACAGCCATTCAAAACTGTCTAGCCATTTTGAGGCACTACAGAGAAGTTCTTTCTCTTTGGTCGTTGTGGTCACCCTAGTCATGTTCTGCTCCCACCTCCTTTGCACCTGTTGGAGGTGTGAGTCCAAGAGCACTGATATTTTAAGTGCCTCCTGACCTATTAAGCATAAGGGGCCAGTGGGATGTAGCTAGAGCAGTGTTTCTCAACCTTAGCCACTTTAAGATGCATGGATTTCAACTCCCAGAATTCCTCAGCCAGCATGACTGGCTGGAGAATTCTGGGAATTGAAGTCTACTCATCTTAACCTTCTCAAGATTGAGAAACATTGAATGACAGCATTATGATTTTACTCCATGCACTCTGCTAGTCAATCATTCCAATCTCGGGAGTGTTCATGGGAATACTTCAGCCTCCAACACTGAGGTGCCCAACAGCTGACCTAGTTTTGACCACAGAGGAAGGAAAAGAAAATTACCATTTTTTCTGTTGCTTGGTTTAGAAGGAGAAAGTGGCAGAATTCTTGTCGATTTCACCTAGTGGAGGGGGGAAAAAAAACCATGCAAGTCCAGCTTTCAAGACATGTTAGTGTTTCAATAGTGATTTTTTTAAAAAAAAAATCAGGTGCTTTATTTCTTTAGTGAAGTTATTATTTTTTTTAAAAAAAATGGAAAACAGTGACAAGAGAGGCATGTTTCTGGCCCACACACACAGTACTAGTAGATAGGTCAGAGTGGTATTTGCCTACCTTGAAAGGAAATGCAGCAGATGAACCAGTTATTGTTGTTAGCACTATTAGACAACACTGTTTTTGATATTTAATAGGAAAAGAGGGAGCTAGGGACCTTTTTGGTGGGCTGGGGGGGGCAGAGCAAGGATGACAATGTAACTAAACCACAATTTACTTGGGTTTGGCTGAGATAGGACTTCCCTGGACAGCCAGTTTGATGTAGTGATTAAGACAACAGGCTAGAAAGTAGGAGACCATGAGTTCTAGTCCTGCTTTGTGCACCATGGACTAGTCACTTTCAGCTCTGGGAACAAGACAATGGCAAACCGTTTCCAAAAACCCTTGCCAAGAAAATTGCCAGGATATATCCAATGAGTCACCAGAGTCAAAAATTGATCTGAAGGCACCAAAAATTGCCAACTTCATCATTGTGACTTGGAACCTGTCAAACAGCCCTATAATGTATTGACTATTGTATAGTAAAGATAAACTGAATGGGTGGCATCCCATGAGCGCTAATAGGCAGCCAATAATCCAAATCTATAATAATCTCAGAGAGAGATTAAGAAGGAGATTAAGAAGCAAATAAGAAGCAAATCCTCCTAGCCCCTACCTTTTTGTACTGGAAAGTTTTGTTTTAAAATAAAGATAGAGGCTGAGAGCCAGAGAAAGGAAATAAATAGCATCTTCCTCCTGATCCAAGTCTGAATCTATTAGGGCAAGAATTCAAGAAGCTTGACAACTGGAATTCTGGGAGTTGGCGTCCGCACCTCTTAAAGTTGTCAAGGTAGAAAAATATTGTATTAGGAGATGGAGAAAAAAATACAGGGAAGCAAACAAAATGCTTTACTTCAGGAATCTGTGTATTCCAGAGGAATTAGGTATAGGCAAAACTATTTAAGTTTTATCGTGTCTGAAATGTATTTTCTCTGTGCAACCTCAATATTTGTAATTTTTTTTTTTTTGCAATTTTATAAGCAGCTATTTCTACATTGGATCCAGACCAATAGCTTTGCTCAGAGGTTCATATTGTCCTTTATATTTTTCTAAAGTGCACTGGAATTTGAGTAGGTTTATATTCCCCCCCCCCACCCTTTTGCCAATGAATGTTTGGCTTGGGAGAATTTAAAGCTAAAAATTGCTTCTTCAAGTTGCATTTAAATTATCTCTAGAGGGACAATCTCCTCAACACTAAAGTTCCAGTATTTGGCACTCTAGATTTTTATTTTAAATTGCCAGACGAGCAACATAGCTTATGGGGATCCTCTGTCTCACATATACTGGAGAAGGATGCCAAGTGCGGGTGCCCCTTTGAAAACAGTCGGAACTACCAAGCCACTGCACTAAGACAGGAGAAAGAGGTAGGATATACAGATAGTCCTCGACTTACAACAGTTCATTTAGTGACTGTTCAAAGTTACAACAGCCCTGAAAATAGTGACTTATGACCATTTTTCACACTTAACCACTGTTGCAGCATCCCCATAGTCACATGATCAAAATTTGGAAACTTGGCAACTGACTCATATTTATGACACATGATCACCTTTTGCAATCTTTTTACATCTTTCCATTCCCCACCATCCAGTCAGAGCTGAAGAAGCTTCTTGGATCAGAAGGGAAAAGTCTTCAAAGAAAAACAAGAAAGTCCAGTTGCCTCATGAAAACGCATCTTTGGGGTAGAATGTAAAAGTAAACACAAAATTTGAAATTGAAGATACGGGAATGAAAGGAAAAGATAGTGAAAAGGAGAAATGATTTGAATGAGGAAATATAGCAAAAATTTCACAAAAAAACTGGTGAAGTAATACAGGGGAATGAAAAGAGACTTTGGAGAGTGGAAAGGCTGATACAAGGGAAATTAAAAATCTACACTGAAGTAGTACAAAAAAAAATCATCAGAAAAAGCCTTAAGATTTTGAGCATGAAAGGAAAGTGGATTGCAAGGAAAGGAAAAGTGACCAATTTTGTAATTGTATGTCTCCCACGTCACACTGCTCGATGTAATGACATGCAGCCTTCAGACATGCCCAAATGTGGACTTAAAATAGTGGTGCAAGATTCTGAGTTTGTTAAAAAAAAAAAAAAAAAAAAATCTTTAAAAGGAGGCTGGGTAGGGCATTTTCAGGGACATTTGTAAATTAATCATAAGATCCAGGTAGGATAATGAGAGAAAAATAGGACATGCAAGCACTTACCAAAGGTATTTTGCCCTTACCTTTGGGGCCAAATTCATCAGGTTTTCCCCTTAGATTTTTCGCCAGGAGTTTTCCTTTTAATTCAAAAGCAGTAATTTCCTAGGTGAAGAGGGTGAGGCTAATGCTCACCTATGTCCTCTATCCAAGTGGTACTAAAGTCATTTGATCTCTTGGTCCAGAGTGACAGAGATAAGAGCAGGAAATGACTTTGATCATGGTTTCTTGTTTACTTCATCCATACCTCCCCACAAATGCGTTTGGAGAACAAGTGGCTAGAAAAAGGAAGATAACTTGACCACAAGCTAGAGTTCTTTCTGGTTCTAAAGGGAACCAGTTTTAGGAGGAAAATGAATTGAATATAACACAAATTGCTCTCCAAAACAAAACCAAATAGCTAAAGTACTATGGGTTTTTATAGCACTCTGTTTAAACGTTTGGATCTATCAAGTTTGTATGGATGAACTTTACATTTGTTTCTAAAGTTTTCTTCTTTAAAATTTTTTCTATTTCCTTTCTATTATTCATATTGTAAGCTACTCTGAGATGGCATACTGTAATGAAATGATGAGGGTAAAGATGAGAAAAATCCTATTCAGAAAAACAATTCTAGAAATTAACTTTTCTGCTTACTTCTAGAGGGCACACAGTTCAGCTTCAGACTTATTGAAAGATGGATGGAGTTTAACTGCTAGGGGCAGGTAGTCCTGATTGGTAAGGCCACACTTGGAATACTGCATCCAGTTTTGGTCACCACGATGTAAAAAAGATGTTGAGACTCTAGAAAGAGTACAGAGAAGAGCAACAAAGATGATCAGGGGACTGGAAGCTAAAACATATAAGGAATGGTTGCTAGAATTGGGTATGTCTAATTTAACGAAGAGAAGGACGAGGGGAGACATGATAGCAGAGTTCCAATATCTCAGGGGCTGCCATAAAGAAGAGGGAATTAAGCTATTCCCCAAAGCACCTGAAGGCAGGACAAGAAGCAACGGGTGGAAACTAATCAAGGAGAGAAGCAACCTAGAACTAAGGAGAAACTTCCTGACAGTGAGAACAATTAATCAGTGGAACAGCCTGCCTCCAGAAGCAGTAAATGCTCCAACACTGGAAGTTTTTAAGAAGAGACTGGACAGCCATTTGTCCGAAATGGTGTAGGGTTTCCTGCCCGAGCAGGGGGTTGGACTAGATGACCTCCAAGGTCCCTTCCAACTTTACTACTACTACTATTATTATTATTATTTAGTGACTGCCTCGACTATTAGCAGTTATGACAGTGATGAAAAAGTACCTTTATAACCAATCCTCACATTTATAATCTTCGCAAGTGTATAAAGCAAAGCAAAGCTGAAGTGAAATCATAAGCATTGTCAGTTTCACTTAGTGATCACTTGGCTTTTTTTTTAATTATTAAAAGTTTTTTATTTTTTCCATATAAACATTATATATAAAAAAAGAAAGTACAATACAATTTTGAAATAAAATAAATTCATAACCATTAGTACGACCTGCCCACCCCCCCCCCCCCCGGTCGCGTCCACCCTCTCTTGAAACATTCCCTACTTCCCTCCTCTTTCTCACCTCCCATCCTACTCTCTTCCCCTCCCCCTCTCCTCTCACTACCCTACTTCCTCTCTACACTTTCTCACCTCTCATCCCTATCAAACCCAGGAACGCAGCATAAGGGGAGTGCCAGGGCCGCACCCCTATAAGCAACCATTATCTATATTACACTTTCCCCCCCACATTTCCTCCCTCCCTCCCACCCCCAACCCCCCTCCCTTCACTTCCCAGAGCAGAATACAGGGTTAATAATAAATTTTTTTATAATAATAAGAAAAAAGAAAAGAAAAAAAGAAAAAAGAAAATATCATACTTAACCTTTAACTCCAATAACCTATAAGACAATTCTCTATAATATTTACTATAATATTCATTCATAAAATAAATGAAACTTTTTAGTTCCATACTTTTTTGAATATAGCCCATCCATCTTCTCCATACAGCAATATATCTTTCTTGTGTGTGATCCTTTAAATAAGCAGAAATTTTTGCCATTTCTGCAAAACTAGATACTTTAAATACCCATTCTTCTAAAGTAGGCAAAGAATCTTTCTTCCAATATAAACCTATTAATAACCTTGCAGCAGTTAATAAATTCAACATCAAAATAGTTTATCATTTAAATCCACAAAAATACCCAATAAAAATAGCTGAGGAGTAAACTTTATCTTCCTTCTAAAAATCTTTTGAATGTTCCACCAAATCATAATCCAAAAAGCCTTTACCTTTTTACAATTCCACCAAATATGGAAATATGTCGCATCTTTATTGCCACATCTCCAACATTTGGGCTGTATATTAGAATACATACAAGATAATTTTTTAGGATCTAAATGCCATCTATAAAACATTTCATAAAAAATTTCTCTCAAATTTGGAGCTTGTGTAAATTTAACATTTCTAGTCCAAATTATCTCCCATAAATCCAATGAAATCGGTTCCTGTATATTTTGAGCCCATTTAATGATACAATCTTTAACCAATTCTGTTTCCGAATCTAACTCTAATAAAACATTATAAATTCTTTTTATATGAGCCTGACTCTGATTTTTAATCTGGATAACCAATTGTTTGTCTTCTAATGTTATTCCCTCTTTCTTGTCTACAGTCCATCTATCCACTATTTGTAAATATTGAAACCATGACTGTAGAATATTTTCTTGCCTTAATACATCTAGAGATTTCAAATGCCAATTCGAACCAGACCAAATTAACAATTCTTTATACGAGATTTTATCAAAATTTGTCCCCTTAGAAATTCCCTCAATTGCATGTCTGGGAATCCCCCAGATAGGTATTTTATAATTCAATCTGTAATAATACTTTTTCCAAACACGAAGTAGGGCATTCCTCAAAATATGTAATTTAAAAGTCCGGTCAACTTTCTTATTGAAAATCAGGTATGCATGCCAACCATATATTAAGTCCCAACCTTCCAAAGAAAGAATATCCTTATTTGTTAAATTAAGCCAATCGCCTAACCAAGTTAAAGTGGCTGCATCATAATATAATTTCAAATTAGGTGCCTTAAGTCCTCCTCTTTCTCGAGCATCCTGTAAAATCTTAAACTTAACCCTTGGTTTCTTTCCGGCCCATATAAAATTGTTGATACCCTTTTGCCATTCATCCAAATTTGCCTCTTTTTTAAAAATAGGTATCATCTGAAACAAAAAAAGGAACTTTGGTAGAACATTCATTTTTACAGCTGAAATTCTCCCCAACAATGACAATTGCAATTTTTTCCAGTCTTTTAAGACCTTTTGTACTTTTACCCATAGTGGTTCATAATTATTCTTATACAATTTTCCATTTGAAGCAGTTAAATATACTCCCAAATATTTAACCTTTTTTACCATCTGGAAACCTGTAGCTTTGACCAAACTTTCCCTATCCTTAACTGACATATTCTTAGATAATATCTTAGTCTTATAATTGTTGACTTTAAAACCAGAGACATTCCCATACTGTGTTATAAGTTCTAGTAAACAATCAATCGCTTGATTCGGCTGTTCCAAAATTAAAACCAAATCGTCCGCAAAAGCCTGCAATTTGTACTCATTCTTCCTTATCTTTACGCCCTTGACTACCTTTGATTCTTGAATCTGAATCAATAAAATTTCCAACGTTAAAACAAATAACAATGGGGATAATGGGCATCCTTGTCTTGTCCCTTTTTCAATATTAAAATTCTCAGTCAATCCCCCTCAGTCAATTTGTGCAGATTGTTGCTGATATATAGCTTTAAGTGCATGTAAAAAATTATCCCCAAAATTCATTTTCTCTACCAATGAAAATAAAAATTTCCAATCTAATTGATCAAAAGCTTTTTCAGCGTCCAAAAAGATAAAAGCCACAGGAATCTGATTATTCTTATCCAAATACTCAATTAAATTTATAATTTGTCTAACATTATATTTTACATATCGCCCTGTTATAAATCCTACTTGGTCATTATGAATCAAGTCCTTCATAACCTACATTAATCTGTTTGCCAAAATTTTTGTAAAAATCTTGTAATCAACATTTAATAATGAAATTGGCCTATAATTCTTAGGCTCTGTAAGATCCTGATCTTCCTTTGGAATCAGTGATATAAAAGCTCTTTTCCAAGAAGGAGGAACTTGTGTACCCAACAAAATACTATTAAAAAGTTCCTTTAATGGCTCCGTCATTTCTTCAGATAAAGTCTTATAATACCTCGAGGTCAGTCCATCTGTTCCCGGAGACTTTCCAACCTTTAACTGCTTAATAGCTAAATCAATTTCCTCCACAGTGATTAATCTATTCATCCCATTTTGTTGTTCCTCTGAAAGTTTAGGAAAATGCACTGATTGTAGATATTTATCTATATCCACACCCTTTATGTTGTCACTTGAATATAATTTTGTATAAAAATCTAAAAAACTCTTTTTGATCAAATTTTGCTGAAAAACCTCAATACCTTTATATTTTACTTTCTCTATAATTCTGGCTTTCTGTTTCTTTCGTAACTGGTAAGCCAACCACCTCCCAGGCTTATTCGCGTTACAGAAAGTATTATGTCTCATATACGACAAATTAGTAGCCACCTGATCTGCCATCAACATATTAAATTGTTCCTTAAGCATCTTTATAGATACCTTTAAATTATTATCAGTTAGATTAAAAACAAACTCTTGTTCCTTTAATTTAATCTCTTCTTCTATTTCTCTACATCTTTGTAACCCTTTTTCCTTAAAAACTTTATTCAATTGAATCAAAATTCCCCTCATATATGCCTTACTGGTGTCCCAAACCATGGACATCGATGTTCCCTTATTCATATTTATAGCAAAAAAGTCCTTTAAATGTTCTTTACATTTTTGTACAAACTCTTCCCGAGTAAACAAATTCTCATTCAATCTCCAGGGTCTTCTATTCCCATCTTCCAAATGTAGTTCCATCCACACCGGACTGTGATCTGACAAAGTTCTGGGGAAAATTTTCACCTTCCTCTCTCTAGAGAGAAAATCACTAGTAATAAAAAAAAAGTCAATTCTTGAAAATGACTGATGTCTATCCGAATAAAAAGTGAAATTATCACTTATATTCCTTTCTCGCCAAATATCAATGAGCTCCAATTCTTCTTTCAAATCAAAAAAAGTTTTAGGTAACCTAGTTTGGGTAAAAGTTTTAGAGGAGCTCCTTTTGTCTACAGTTGAATCTAAAACCCCATTCCAATCACCCATCAAAATTACAGATTTATAATCCAACTGAGATATCTTCCCATGCAAAAACTTATAAAATTGTTTCTGTTGCTGATTAGGAGCATATAATCCAACAATAAGAACTTTTTTACCTTGTAATAATAATTCCACAAAAAGATATCTTCCTTCAGAGTCAGTCTCAATTAATTTAGATGAAAAAATTTTCTTCACGTAGATTACCACTCCCCCTTTTTTCCCTGGAACTGGAGCAATAAAATGTGAACCCAAACGAGGATTCATCAAAAGTTTGGAGTCCTTTAAAGTTATATGAGTCTCTTGCAAACATATCAAATCATTGTTATGTTGTTTCAAATAATGAAAGACCTTTCTTCGTTTCTGTGGCACATTTAAGCCATTAACATTCCAGGTCAGGAACATGGCCATCTCCACTGGCCTGAAGCCTCTGGAGCATGGCCTGCAGATCCACTGTTGAAGATCTTTTTGGTCTTGCCCCTCCCACAGGCTCTGTGATAACCGTGCCTTCAACTTTATCACCACTTTTCTGCTGCTGCTCTTTTTCTTTACGTTTATGGGCAGCTCGTGTCATCCTTTGCTCTTTTATCTCAAGATTCTGTACAGCTTGTTCCATGACCATCATTGATGAGGCTCCTGCCATAACAGGCTCTTCCATTATCCTTGTTTGTGGGGGTGAGGGCGATCTTGACTTTAAGATAGAGTGATAAAAATCTCTTGCCTTCGAGACTGTAGTTAATCTGTGGCGTATCCCCTCATAATTCACTATTATTCCTCTTGGAATCCCCCATCTAAACTGAATTTGACGATGCTTTAACTCATCAGACAGAAAAGCAAAATCTTTTCTGCCTCTTAAAATTTTGGGAGGTATTTCTTTTAAAATTATCACATCTTGATCTGCAATTTGAAACTTTTGTTTATAAAAAGCCTGTATAATTTCGTTATGAGTAAATCTTCTGGAGAAGTAGATGACCACATCTCTTGGTAAGTTTCTCTGTCTAGCAACCCGTGAGTTGAGTCTAAAATTTTTTTCTATCTCATTCCCAATTATTTCAGGCCTCCAGCCCAGATTAAGAACAGTATCTTTCACAATAAGCATCTTTAAGTCCTCCTGAAGGTTCTCTCTCAACCCCGATACGCAATGCATATTCCATCTCTCTATATTGTGAAATGATTTGTTCATCCTGTGTAATTTCTATCTTATTCTCTACCTCCTCCATCCTAGATTCCATTCTTGTTGCATTTTCAGTAATCTCCTCGATTCTGTCGTCAATTCTCTCTATATACAGAGCAAGGCCCTGGAAAGCAAAAAGTATGTCTTCCCTTATTTGCTTATTCTTTGTCTCCAATAGTTCTTCTGTGACAGCCCTCTCTGCAATTATAAGATCTTTTACTTCCTCCTTAATATCCAAAGCATGCTTTTTTAAAGCTTCTTGTAGATCTTTAAGAGAAATTGCAGGAGGAGGAGAGGGTGGAGGTGATTTTGGTTTCTGAGAAACAGGCTGGGTCATTGGGGAAGAGATAGTGGCTTTAGGAGGAGGAGGCAAGCGTTTTGAAGCCATTTTCTTAAGTTCTAAGAAGAAAGATTCTTGTTTGAAGAAAAAAAAATCACAGTTCTTTGAATATTCTTTTAAAAAAATTACAGAGAAAAAAGAAAGAAAAAAGAATAAAAAAAAAACAAATTCTTGCTTCTATATTTAAAGCATTAATCTGTATCCAGATTTTAGCTTTATGATGCAAATCAAACAAGAAAGACAATCGCCATTTTGCCTTTCACTTTCCTTTTCTCCAAAAGGGAAAGTGAACAATAAAAAAAAAAAGAAGAGGATACTTGCTGGAGTTAAAGACACCATCAAACTTAAGCACAATTTCTCCTGGTCTGCTCCGTCTGCTTTTAAATACTCACAAGCGGCTAAAACAGTGATTCTCAACCTTTCTAATGCCGTGACCCCATAATACAGTTCCCCATGTTGTGGTGACCCCCAAGTGGGTGTGGCCACCAATAAGAGGGAGTAGGACAGCTAGGGAAAAGGGAAAAAAATGGCGGACAGCATGGTTTGGTGACCCCCGTGAAATGGTCATTCGACCCCAAATGGGATCCCGACCCACAGGTTGAGAACCACTGGGCTAAAAGAAGCAGATGTGGAAGTGGCAGCTTGCTTCATCCCAAAACTTCGGGACGAAGGCTCCCTGGAACGCGGAGACGCTCAGGCTCTGAGGGAGCTCTACCCTCCAATCCCCAAAATTATAGGGATCCAGGGGAGCTTTTACCTCTACCTGAGAGCTCTCCTCCTCCCTTTTGTCCAGGAAGGAGATTCAAGCCACGGGACAGCTGATTGTCAAAGTCCCGCAGCTTTTACACGGACCAGGAACGGGCGGCTTTGTAAAACACCGCCATCGTCGTTGCTGGAACCACCGGAAGCCGTGATCACTTGGCTTAATGACTATGTTGTCAGTTCAAATTGTGGTCACTAAACAAGAAATAGCTATATCTGACAAATTTTGGGTAAGTTGATCTCATATGTTATGGCAGATCTCCTCAATCTAATGCCCTCCTGAGGTATCTGATTTCAGTTCTACAAATCTTAGGCGGCTATGCTGCTTGACAAGTCCCATGCTGTGTTTGCATAACACCATGAACCAAATGAATGAACTTTATCTGGTTATTATATGTTATATTATGTGAAAACTGGACTAAGTAAACCCTGTGTAAATTAACTATGGATATGGTTAATCTATGTGGAAACAGATCTTTGCAGACAACTGTTATATGACAAAAATGTGTTTCTGTATATCATTGCCACACATCTGTTGGGTACCCAATTTTGGTAAGCTGCATTAGGGGAACATCTAGAGGATCCTGCCCTTGGTCTCATTTTCAAAGGCCCAGCATCAAGTAGAAAGAAGAGGCAATTACCACATATATCACTATCAGGAAGACTCATAAGATATAGTATTAGATTTAATGCCTATCAATCCATCAGCCAGATAGTAGTCACAATCATTTAAAACAATATTTTCAAATTTGGCAATTTTAAGGTGTATGGACTACAACTCTCAGAATTCCACATTTTCAAAGTTGCCAAGTTTGAAAAATAGAGATAAAACCACAGCTTCAGCACTGAACTAAAATAAGGAAGGGCAGCAATTCTGGATGGAAGAAAGCATATGCATTCTGTTTTTGCATGAGAACATTGGAGGAGTCCTATCTTAATAAGACCTGAACTGCTGAAGAGCCCCAGCAAATTATTCTATTTGATCCAAACTAGAATTTTAGGGATGAATGTATGTCCTAAGACCAAGAGTAAACCTAAGAGTCCAAGTTTTGCTTAAACATAACAACTGGTTTAATAGCATAGTTGTAGTGACCAGATATCTGTAATCAAGCTCTTTTGCTGAAGTTGCATCCTCATAGTTGTATAAGGACCTCTGTGTGCTTTAACTGGTGGAACACTGGAGGATAAATTACCTAAGCTAAGTGTGAACAAATTTGGTTAATATTTGACTGGAACCAATCAAGAAAACGTGAAAGCAATAGATATATTGGGAAAGCAATAAAAGGGGGAGGATTAGCAAATCACTTCCTTATTGTTGCCACAAAAAAAAACTTTTATCAAGTTGCCAGGAGCCAAGATTGATTCAAGGAAGAGTTACCCTAAGCCGGGAATTAAATAGTTTTATGAACAGCTCTGTAGATTCATCTTATTCTGGATATTATGTACAGTACATCGGAGAACAAAGGTATTCAATAACTAAGAAGCAGGGTAAAGAAACATAGGCTATTCTTGTCTATGGAGATTCTGTCATCCAGGTCATGGTTGTCCCAAAGGTACTTCTTCAAAAGGCAACTGGACTTTGTTTTTCCTTGAAGACATTTCACTTCTCATCCAAAAAGCTTCTTCAGTCTGAAGAACTGAAGGCTATTCTTCCTTGTTTAGAGCCTAATTAAGATAGACTTCCTCTGGCTATGGAGTTTTTAATCTAGCAATTAGAATTAATGGTAGGTCCATTTTTCACAAATTTATTTATTTAAAATATTTACATAGTTGCCCATCTTTTAACCAACTTTGGGATTCTGCCAATCTGGCGGGATTTCTTTACATTTCTTCAAGTTTTCTTGGAATACCAGCGCTTCTTAATCGCAAGAACACCATTTGTGTTCAATATAATCCGTCATTGAATAGAATAGAGCTGGAAGGGACCTTGGAAGTCTTCTAATCCAGCCCCTTGCTCAAACAGAAGAACATACCATTTCAGACAAGTGACTGTAGTCTCTTCTTAAAAACTTCCAGTGTTGGAGCACCCACAACTTCTGGTGGCAGACCGTTCCACTGGTATTGCATAATTACAGATTCAGAAAAGGGCGGAAAAAAGCCAGCAAGGGCTGAAATATAAATATACTATTCCTCCTAACAGGAGAAGCTCCAGATAGGGCGAAACTATTATTGAGCGGAGAGATCCAATTAAAATAATTATAATAATAATCCTCCTCTATCTAGCGCAGCATTTTATCAAAAGAGAAACACTTGATTCCCTGCCGCCAGTTTTGCCCACACTTCCCTTCGGCCAGATTGGGCGATGAAGTCACGGATTGCCAGAAACAACGTCACCTCCTGTGCGCTGAGTGGGAAAATGTCTCTACCTACGCATCATATCCGGCTCGAATGGCAGCAGGAGTCTGATGTCGATTTCTGCGCAGCACTGCTGGGAGACTTCGGGTGCTGTTGTTGCAGCCGCCTAGGTACTACCTGGGTCGCGTGTACGGAGATGGGGTGGAGGAGAAAGTGCAAATCCGCCAATTTTAATTTAGGGGTCCCCTTGGAGAATCGGGGTCCCCTTGGAGAATCGGAGGAATGGGAGTTCCAGTGATCCCTAAATGAATGTCGAGGTCGCCTCCTAAGTGTCTTCAAACGCGGTTGCTTTAGTGCACACTTGATTAGATGCACGAGAAAAGTCGTGGGGAACCCCCGTTGGCTCCCATACGTTTTATTGGGAGACGGGAGGGGGCGGTAGGCATCCCTTACATTCAATTCTCCAGTATGCCCAGTTGAGAAAGTATTTGGTGGGCTTCTGTTGAAATTAAAGGAGACGGTTTTGGAGTTCAGGAAGGGAAGGAAACTTATTTTAAGAGAAGGCAACAAAAGCCTCATTTTTGGAAGTAATGGTTTCTCATCTTTCTTGCCTCCAAAAGAAAGTGGAGAATTGTTGTCTGAAAACTGGGTTTAGCCTGGCACATGTGCCAGTCAGAACCAGAAACGAGAGGCGGTTCAAGGAACTTTTATTGAACTACTTCAGCAAAAGGGTCTCAGCAGCTAAAGGAGCCAAGACCTGGATCATATACAATACCAATTTTATACAGTTATGAATAAGGAAATTAACACCCTAAAATCAATCATTCATTGGTTCCTTGACACATGTTTCTTTTGATTGGATTCTTCTACTTTACCCTCCTTCATACATTGCATGTTTATGTTAATAAACTTTCTTATCAAAATGGGTGTGTTTTATTATTATAATAAGCTAGAGGTTGCCAAAGTTTATGTCTAGCATCTTTCTAACAGCGTCTTTCTAACTTAGGGATCTTCAAACTTGGCCCTTTAATGACTTGTGGAGTTCAACTCCCAGAATTCCTCAGCCAGGCATGCTGGCTGAGGAATTCTGGGAGTTGAGGTCCACAAGTCATCAAAGGGCCAAGTTTAAAGACCCCTGTATCTAACTTGTAGCTTTCTTGTTGCTAGGCCCTAGTGTCCCACCATTCGTTACTGGTTTTGTTACTCATTGCAGCTGCAATTTCCTGCTTCAGCAATTCCTTTAACAAACTTTCCCAATTCCAATCTGAGACCTTCAGAATGAAGGATTTTTCCTGTTATAATATTTGGGAATGCCTATTTGGAAAAAAACTGTCATGAGGGAGTATGCAGAATTTTTTTAGACTGTGATATTTTGGGCAGTGTTTTGGTTTTGAGAGTTTATGAAATTCTTCATTTATATTAACCTATCATTAATGCCAAAGGGTAGGCAATATGTATTGTGTGCATCTCCACTGGTATGGGTAGCAAAGGCAGAGTTGACAGTTACTTGTTTACAAACTTTCCCCAGAGGCAGTGTGTAGTAATGATAAGATCCTTATCAGTAGAGAAACCAGCATTCTGGTTAAGCTGCATACGACGATTATTAAAACTGCCAAGTTTGTGTTTTGGAAGAAGTTCAGTTTGTATGAGTTTGTTAAGTCTCTCTACTGTTGATTTGGGTTGCGTTTTACAGGGTCATCATGTCAAAACGGAAAGTCACATTCGAAGATCAAGGTGATGATGATGAAGAGGAGATGAGTCTCCCAAAGAAGAAGGTGAAATAAACCTTTCTAACACCTTTGCCTAATCTGAGCTCTTCTGCCTGTTTTTGGTTAGAGTTCCTATCAATACTGATCAATCTAGTGGTAGAAGCAACTCAAAACTGTAGGACAAACCACCTGGATGGAACTCAGATTGAGGAAGGATGTTCTTTAACTTGAGATCCAGAAAATAAAGCTAAGGGCAAACTTTTCATAACAGTGTTTCTCAATTTGGCAACTCATAAGATATAGATTTTAACTCTCATGCTGGCTGGGTTATTCTGGAAGTTGAAGTCCATACATCCTAAAGTTACCACATTTGAAAAACACCAATCTGTGAAGTTAAAGGCTATAGGATAGACTTAAATCAGGTAGTCCTCAATTTACAACCATTTGTTTAATGACCATGTTAAGTTACAACAGCACTGAAAAAAGTGACATGACCATTTTTCACATGTATCCCCATGGTCACATGATCAAAGTTCGGATGCTTGGCAACTGACTCATATTTATGGCGGTTGCAGTGTCCCGGGGTCATGTGATCACCTTTTGCGACCTTCTGACAAGCAAAGTCAATGGGGAAGCCACATTGACTTAACAGCTGTGTTACTAATGTAACAACTGCAGTGATTTGTTTAAGAACTGTGTCAAGAAAGGTCATAAAACAGGGCAAAACTCCCCTAACTGTCTTGCTTAGCAACAGAAATTTTGGGCTCAATTATGGTTGTAAATCCAAGACTGACTGTAAGTGCCTCAAGTTATTAGGGAAAAAAATAAAGAAAGCTACAGAGAGTAACTTGCTAATTTGAAAAGTTAGTTAATTTGTAACTTGACAATTGGGGGGGGGGGAAACAGATAAATCCTGAACTTCTGCATTCACTTCATCTCTTGAACAGTTGGTGGAACCTGCCATTGGAGGGCCAGGCAGCCGCTTTAAAGGCAAGCATTCATTGGACAGCGATGAGGAAGATGAAGAAGATGAAGGGCAGGGTAGTAAATATGACATCCTTGCATCAGATGATGTGGAGGGTAAGTAGGGAACTGTATTTATTATAGATTTCAGTAATCAGAGCTTCCATATTCTTTCCTCTCTCAGTTAAAAAAAAGTCAGTAGTCCTCAATATTTTTAGGTGGCAGTTAAGACACCACATAATCTTCAAATCTCAATAAGAAAAATGTTTTGAAGACTTTATAATTCAAGCAGAATGATTATTTTGGAGCAGAAGGTTTCATATTTACACTTTCTACTCCAGTAATTTACTGTTTGTTAACTGTGTTAAAAGTTAAAGTTAAATATTTGTATTGGTGTCAGGTCAATCAGAAATTAATCTGCTTACTTTATCTTTTTAGGGCAGGAATCTGCCACTATTGACTATGAAGATGGTATCCGGATCACCCCTTTCAATTTACAGGAGGAGATGGAAGAAGGTCATTTTGATTCAGAAGGCAACTATTTCTTGAAAAAAGAGGCAGTGATTCGGGACAATTGGTTGGACAACATAGATTGGGTAGGTCTTTTTGGGTAGAGTTGAAGGAAGATGACCAGTGCTATGGAAAAAGTGTGCATAAACATTATTTGAAGTAAATATAGGGGAGTTTTAGGACTGTGAAAGGAAATATCATGGACAAGCCATAGAATTCTCTGCCATCCATTCCATAATGGTCATCAGCTTAAACCAGTGTTTCTCAATCCTGGCAACTTTAAGATGTCGGGACTTCAATTCTTAGAATTCCCTAGCTTCCTCTACATTAGGGGTTCTCAACCTTGGTAACTTTAAGACCTGTGGACTTCAATTCTTTGAAGCTTTGCTGGCTGAGGAATTCTGGGAGTTGAAGTCCACAAGTCTTAAAATTGCCAAGGTTGAGAACCCCTGCTCTACATAGTACCACTCCACCAATCAAATTGAGAGCAATATTGACAGATGAAAGTGTGCTTGCAAAAAACGGAAATAATTGCAAGGATAAGCCATTTGTGTTCTTTTTCCAGACCTAAAATCCATTTTAATCCATAATATAGATAGTCCTTGACTACTGATCACAACTGAGCCCAAAATCTCTGTTGTTAAGTGAGACACTTGCTAAGTGAATTTTGCGCCATTTTACGATCTTTCTTGCCACAGTTGTTAAGTGAATCACTTTAGTTGATAAGTTAGTTATAGCAATAGGACTTAGACATATTTACCTCTCCACAGTGCCTTACAGCCCTCTCTAAGCGGTTTTACAGAGTCAGCCTCTTGGTTCCAACAATCTGGGTCTTCATTTTACCGACTTCAGAAGGGTGGAGGGCTGAGTCATAAGTTGGACCAGTTGCCAAGCAATTGAATTTTGATCACATGATCATGGGGAAGCTACAAATGTAAATGTAAAAAATGGTTCTAAGTCACTTTTTTCAATGCCGCTATAACTTCGAATGGTCACCAAATCAATTGTAAGTTGAGGACTACATACATACATACATACATACGTTTTCTGAGGTTTTCGCGGGTGTTTGTATGTAGGTCTTTGGTTGTTCGGGTTTTCTCCCGCGTAAAATTGGAAGTGTCTTGGCGACGTTTCGACGAAGTCCCATTCGTCATCTTCAGGCTGGTGTTTTCAGCTTCATGCTTCGAGGAGCAATATGTGGTCTTAGCTGTTTCTTCCTTTTAACTGCCAATGGGGGTATGAACTGATTGGATGGGAGCTTGGCTGTGTTCTGATTGGGTGGAGGTGTGTTCTGATTGGTTAGGGGCTTGGCTGTGCTCTGATTGGCTGGGGGGCTGGCTGTGCTCTGATTGGCTGGGGGGGTAGGCTGTGCTCTGATTGGTTCCTCGAAGCACGAAGCTGAAAACACCAGCCTGAAGATGATGAATGGGACTTTGTCGAAACGTCGCCAAGACACTTCCAATTTTACGCAGGAGAAAACCCGAACAACCAAAGACCTACATACATACATACATACATACATACATGCATACATACATTGCTTTTTCCCTTTACCTTATCTATACTTTTCTGATTTTCACCAGGTCAAGATAAAGGAACAGCCTCCCGGACAGAAGAAATCATTCAATTCTGCAGATAACAAGGAAGAAGATGAAGATGATGATGATGATGACGACGATGATGATGATCTTGAGGTAGGCCGGACACCTCTGGAGAAGAAAGAACTTCTGGAAAGGATGGTAGACTTAATGTTACCTGGTGAGACGGTGGCTAGAGCCATTCAAAGGTTTGGAGACAAGGGTGGCCCCAAAAGTAGTGGACGTCAGCGGAGGCCCTGGGCCCGCCTCAAAGTAGATGAAGTTGATCCAGCCGAGGAAGAGGATCCCCAGAAGCCTGGGTCACCTGAGCGGAAAGAGCAGCTGGAACAGCTGTCAGGGCTGGCTGACCAAATGGTAGCACGGGGGGTCTATGAGATCTACCAGGAAACCCGGGAGAAGCTGGCCGTGAGACTCCGGGCTTTGCAGCAACCACCTGCAGCACCTTCCTCTGCTGAACCAGAACTCGATATGTTTGCTGAGGAGATCGATGAAGCCAAACTGGGGGAGAAGACATCAGCAGGTGAGCATCGGGGGGGGGGGGCAACAGTATTCTGGGAGGAGCTGATTGGAAACACACAGTTGAGACGGTTTGCTGAATTTTATCACAGCAGGCGAGGGGTCACTTGTTGGAGTGTTTTTCTCTCTGTCAAGGAGAAATTTCCTTTCAAACTTGCAAAGCTGTGTGTCAAGAGCTTATTTGGGAAAGCATTGAAATATACAACCCCTCATCTAACACACTCAACAATCCTTAACTCAGTATTTCTCAACCTCAGGGACTTTAAGAAGTATGGACTTCAATTCCAAGAAACCCCCAGCCAGCATGGGATTCTGGGAGTTGAAGTCCATGTATCTTAAAAGTTCCCAAGGTTGAGAAATGTTGGCTTAACTGTCTGATGTTTAGGAGTAGGGGGGTAGGTGTCTTTTATTAGGAAATTTAGGAAAAATTCTTCTGACATATGTGCTTATTCTCCCACTACAGGAAGTCAGGTGCGTGGGGAGAGTGATGATAACACACTCTCTGAGGTGATGTGGGAATATAAGTGGGAGAACACAAACACATCTGAACTTTATGGACCCTTCAGCAGCTCTCAGATGCAGGTAAGAGACCAAAGGAGGATAGATGAACTTCTTGTTCACTTCCTCACTTTGTATCTGTTTTTCTCTATTCACTATCCTGTTAATGTCCTTCCCCCCCCCCCATTGGTGCAGATATCTTTTTCCCTTCTCCTATATCTCATTTATCTTTCTGTTTTCCCAAGTGACTTTTAAAAAGTGCATCTTTCTCCAATTCTATTCATTTTGATTGCCATCTGTTTAGTGTTACTGGTTGTTTGATTTCGCAGTTGTATATAAAATTTGATTTACATTGAATACAGGTAGTCCTTGACTTACAACTGTTCATTTAGTGACTGTTCAAAGTTACAGTGGCACTGAAAAAAGACCATTTTTCACACTTAGGACCATAACAGCATCCCTATGGTCATCTGATCAAAATTCAGACGCTTGACAACTGACTCACATTTATGACGGTCACAATGTCCCAGGCTTGTGTGATCCCCTTTTGCGATCTTCTGACAAGCAAAGTCAATGGGAAAGCCAGATTCACTTAACAACCGTGTTACTAATTTAACAACTGCACTGGTTCACTTAACAACTGTGGCAAGAAAAGTTGTAAAATGGGGCAAAGCTCACTTAACAAATTTCTCACTTAGCAACATAAATTTTGGGCTCAGTTGTGGTCGTAAGTTGAGGACTACCTGTACTGATGGAAGAAGGCTTCTGTTGGTGCACATTATTTTGGCCTTTCTTCCTGGCAATTGTGAGAAGGAAAGCCTGTTCCTAGGAAGATTTCCATATTGACAACCTTATGCATCAGAGGGATTTTTAATCAGTTGTCACATTTACATTGTTCATGGTTATAATTTATTTCCTTAGTCAGAATTTCTTTCTGGACGGTACATTTGCTGTGGGGATGGTGCTTGAGAATTAGTTTTGATTGATACAGCATCACCAGTTTCATAGTAACACACCCCATGTGCATCTTTTAGAATCTGGTTCTTTTCCTGACACCCTGTGGACGATGATTTCCTATTAGAATTTAAGAGTAACCTAAACCTAGGGCAGCATATTGGCAGGATCAGAAAGGGTGCGCAGCATTCGGTTGCCTTGGAATACCAGATCTGTGATAAATGATCTTCCAGTCCTTTATTAGCAAAACATTTGTGATTAATACGGTTTGATTTGTTCTGATATGGTCCTATCAGATCCCATATTGGCTGAGTGCATTTCAGATTGACCCTTTTGATAACGTTGCCAATTAAGTGACCCTCTTCGACATTGGTTGCCTCTCTCGTGAGTTCCATGCCAGATGGCTCTGTTTTCCTTCATGAATGAAGGTGGATATATACGTGTCCCAGGATAATGTCACAGGGTCCCGTCTGGGTCGGTCACCGGAGCTAGAGTTTTTGACTTCCGAGCTTTCAGACTCATGCTGGAGCCCATCCTCAAGGAACTTCTCTCTAGCAGAGCCTGTTTTCTTTCCTTTTCTCCTTTTCCCTGCCGTCCTTCTCTCTTTTCTTTCAAATTCTCTTTTCTGTCTCTTCAGGACTGGGTATCCCAAGGCTATTTCCCTGATGGGGTTTACTGCCGGAAGGCGGATAATTCCGAGGGCCCATTCTACAATTCCAAGCGGATTGATTTTGATCTCTACACATGATCGGAATCCACCTCCTGTTCTGCCGAGCACGAGGGATAGAGTTCAACCCAGCGACAGACTGAAAGAACTTGCCAGACTTTGGGGATGGGGGGAGGGTGAGGGCAAGGGGACAATATGTGTGTGCGTGTGTGGGTGCACTTGCTGAGGGGAAGAGGGGTTTGATTCACCATTTAAATTTGAGGGTGTTTGGGATTTTGTGAAAAAAATAAAATAACTTTAAATTGGCTGGGTATTACATCCCATTGCTGTAAGTGTTGTGTAGGGTAACAGTTGCCAGATACAAATAATCTTGTACAGATAGTCCTCGGCTTAGGAGCACAATTGAGCCCAGCACTTCTGCTGCTAAACAAGACAGTTAAGGGAATTTTGCCCCATTTTACGACCTTTCTTGCCACAGTTTTAAGTGAATTACTGCAGTTGTTAAATTAGTAACACGATCGCAAAAGGGGGAATCACGTGATTCTGGGACACGGCAACCGTCATAAATACATACCAGTTGCCAAGGGTCTACATTTTGATCACAGGACCATGGGGGTGCTGTCACAGTCCTAAGTGTGAAAAAACAGCCATATATCACTCTTCAGTGCCATAGTAACTTTGGACCGTCACTAAACAAATGGTTGTGAATTGAGGATTATCTGTATGGAGGCAGGATTACTTGGGCATAGCTCATTAATCAGAGCTATTAGGATCACATGCTTCATATCAACTGCAGCAGTCAACGTGATTATTGATGGAAAATAAGACTTTTCCATTACTAAATGAATGGTTTAAGTCAAGGACTACCTGAGATAATTTCTTTCAGCCCAGTGGTTTTAAGTTTATCATGTGATAATTGAAGCTTCTGCTTCAACCAGTCCAGAGCTCGTTAAACAAGGAAAATGTTTTTAAATAGATAAATATACAGATTTAAAAACACAAAAAAGGTAGATGACTAGCCTAATGGGCCTAGAATAAAATCAACATATTTTATATTCAGGCTTGCTTATTTTACAGCCATATAGTCACATGGACTACACATGAACAGCTGTGTCTGTTAGATTTATAGAAAGGAAATTATCTTTTCAAAAGATCCTTTAAAAATAAAATTTCAGATTTGGGAACATCGCTCTAAATAGTTCTCTGAATGGACTCAGCAAATTTATGGCAACTCAGGTAGAATGTGCTATTGTAGCAAGATATTAATGGTTAAGTAAAATGGATGCCTCAAGAGTATTCCCTTAAGACAGAGGTGGGCGACTATGGACCTTTATGACCTGTAGACTTCAACTCCCAGAATTCCTGGCTGGCTCAGGAATTCTGGGAATTGAAGTCCACGGATTGTAAATGGCCATAGTCGCCCACTCCTGCCTTAAGGGATTCTTTGCAAGTTCAAAAAAGCCCTCAACGTGGGTTCTTTTATAATATCAAAAGATCTGCTGATGAGACAAAATGATTCAGATTAAAGAAAAGATTAATATTTTTATGACTAAACAAGTTGTAGGCAATCTGCTGGAAATGTTTGGTAACCATCTTGAAATCCATATTTCTTAAAATTCAACTTGAGCCAGCTCATTGGCACAGGAAGGAAACTGGCAAATTATTTGAGCAATTGATCCTTTACTGTGTCTAATGAAGCAAGCTAGAGGTAGATAGATGAGGTTTTTTTTAAAAAAAAAAATAGAATGGATCAGGAAGGGGATAGGAACCTCAATTTGAGAGATGGTCCTGGTGGTTCTTATCCCTCCCCCCACTCTCCTGGAGAGATGAACCATATCTCATGGTATCCTCATAGAATTTCTGTGAAAATTTCTGTGATTGATTATTTCTTTATAGCTTTATTCTTGGAAGGTTAGCTTTTTGTTTCCTGTGAATTTAGTTGTCCCTGCCAAGAAGCAGATGTCGTATGTTCCAAACATTTGTGTGATTCCTTTAGCTGATTACTCTGCAACAAAATAAATTTGACCCTTTTTGTGGAAAGAAATGAAATTAAGCCTATTCAGTGAATCAGAATGAAGTTCTAGCTAGTTTTGTTTTTTAATCACAACTTTGAGCAACGCCATCGCTAGAAAGCTTGCCTGCCAATATCCATCTTTAAGATACAGGTAGTCTTTGACTTACAACCATTCGTTTAGTGACCATTTGAAGTTACAACGGCACTGAAAAAAGTGACTTATGATCATTTTTCACATTTACAACCATTGCAGCATCCCCATGGTCACGTGATCAAAATTCAGATGCTTGGCAACTGGCCTGTATTTATGACCGTTGCAGTGTTCTGGAGTCATACGATCAGCTTTTGTAACCTTCTGAGAAGGAAAATCAGTGGGGAAGCAGTTTCTCTTAACAACCGTGTTAGTAACTTAACAACTGCAATAATTCACTTAACAACTGTGGCAAGAAAGGTCATAAAATGAGGCAAAGCTCAAAAACTGTTTTGCTTGGAAATTTTGGGGTCAATTGTAGTCACAAGTCGAGGACCAGTGCCTTTGAACAGCAGAGAATCTAGTTGGCAATTTTGACTAAGAGGCATTTTTCTTTTTTTTTTTTTTAATTAAAAATTTTATTAAATTTTTTTAAAATTTTACAAAAAAGTTCCCTTCCCCCACCCTCCCAACCCACCCCCCCAACCTTCCCAGAGCTGAATACAGGCTTAATTAAAATTTAAAAGAAAAAAATTTAAACACAAATAAACCATATACAAATCATAAAATACTTTAACACCAATATTTAAAAAGCAGAAAGAGAAAAAAAAAGAAACAAGAAAAAGAAGAAGAAAAAAGAAATTAGAGAAAAAAAATCTAAAAAATATCTTAAACTTTAAATATAAATTATTCAAAAGCTAAATAATATTTTTTTATATCATACTTGTATAAAATTTATCCATCTTTTCCATACCAAAAGGTACTTCTCTTGCGATTGATCTTTCAAGAAAGCCGAAATCTTTGCCATTTGCACTAAATAAGAAACTTTAAGAAACCATTCTTGCAAAGTAGGCAAAGATTCCTTCTTCCAGCATTGCCCTACTAACAACCTAGCCGCTGTAATTAGATTATTATAGTTTCTTTACTGTCACAATCGGAAATAATACCCAACAAAAACAATTGTGGAGTAAATTTTATCCTTCTTTTAAAAATTCTTTGAATATTCCACCATATCTTAATCCAAAAAGCTTTTATATTTTTGCATAACCACCAAATATGATAATAAGTAGCATCCAAGCAACCACATCTCCAACATTTAGGCTGCAAGTTTGAATACATACGAGACATTTTTTGTGGATCAAGGTGCCATCTGTAAAACATTTTATAAAAGCTTTCCCGTAAGTTTTGGGCTTGTGTAAATTTGACATTCCTCACCCAAATAATCTCCCAAGTATCTAATGGGACCGATTCATTAAAGTTTTGTGCCCATTTAACCATACAATCTTTAACTAGTTCTGCTTCTGAATCCAGTTCCACTAACACCCCATAAATTCTTTTAATATGGGTTCGTCTTTGATCTTTTATTTGTTTTAACAAATTCTCATCCTCTCTGAGCAAACCCACCTTACAATCTATCTTCCACCTTTCCAATAATTGTTTATACTGAAACCATGAATAAATGATATTTTCCTGTGTTAAATCTTCCATAGATTTTAATTGCCAATTTTTACCATCCCATCTAAGTAATTGTGTATAAGAAATACTATCCAGCTTAACTCCTCTCCTTATCCCTTCTATCGCATGCCATCCTGTCAATTTTTCTTAACACCCGTCAAGCAAAAGTTTCCTAGGGTAGAATTGTAGAAGCGAAACCAGCATTGCCTGTGAGAGTTTTGCCCACTGGGTTCGCCTATAGCAGTAACGGCAAACCTTTTTGGCTCGGCATGTCAAAATTTTAGAAAATGCCTACCTTGACCTCTGCTGCTGTATCGCACACACTGAAACACAAAGACCGGACAACGGAGACCTCTCAGGACCTCCTTTCTGACTCTAAAAATCGCATGAGAGGGTCCTGCTCTCGTAGGGTCTCTGAAACTCCAAAAGCTGCGCAGGGGTACTCACATAATTTTTGGAGACCTCAGAGGCCACACAAGCAGGGCCCTCTTGAGTGACTTCCAGAAGGTCCAGAAGCCTGCCATGTCACCAAAAAATAGCCTGCTGTGTCACCTGTGATGTGTGTCCTAGGTCTGCCATCGTCAGCCTACAGCAGTGGTGGCGAACTTATGGCACAAGTGCCAGAGGTGGCACTCAGAGTCCTCTCTGTGGGCACTCACGCTGTTGCCAGAGCCCCACCTCCACCCATGGTTCCCTCCTCACCAGAAGCCCCCCCCAGAGGAGAGTCACCGCCGAGCACAGCCGGCATGGAGCAGCACAGCCAAGGACATGGCAATCAGGCAGCAGGGACTAGATTCTGCCCTTGTGCCCTGTCGTGCACAGATGGCTGTGGGGCGTGGGTGGAAGACATGGCCGCCATGGCGCTGCTGAGCCACCTGGGCAATCTGCGGCAGGCCATGGAGGCAGTGGGTGGCCCTGTGGGTGGGCAGGGGTGGGGCAGAGTGGGGGCAGAGAGGGTGGGATGGGGCAGACTGGGATTGGAGCGGGGGCAGGTGGGGCTGGTTTTTGGGTATTCGGTCTCTAAAAGGTTTGCCATCACTGGCCTACAGCATTAAATACACTCTAGTCAGGAGGAAAAAGGAGCCATATAATCACTCTGGTGCTCAATATACTACAGGAAGTGATTTAGAAATACTTCAGATAGAGATTGCACAAAGGAGGGCCAAAGCAGAAGTTGGAAGAACTAAGAATGTTGGGAGGAAATATATATTGGTGTACGAAGAAAAGGAAGTGAGAGGCAGAGGAATCAGTGAAGAGGCTCTAGAGAGGTGAAGCCACACATTATGGGTCCTATCATCAAAGTGAAGCTCTTCTACCAAGCCGTGTTCCTTCTTTGCCTCAGCTGCGGTATGTAGCAGAGCCCTATTGGGTTTGGTGGCTCAGGAACAGGGCAACAGGTGACCTGGGAAGTACCAGATTTACCTGGCGTTTCATAGATTTCAGAGCATTTTCTAGCTTGGGGGGGGTGGGGAATTATTACTCCTTTATACAACTAGATCAGCATCTTTCATCCAGAATGGGAGAATTGGCTGGGGAGGGTTGATAATTTCCATCCAAAGTAAAGAAGGCTGAGTTGCAAGGGTTGGACATCCCCCACAAAATGGAGAGCCTAGATGCTCTTGAATTAATTTCAGTAAGGATCACCTA